AACAAACACCTTACAAATGTTTGGGTCTTACAGTTCCAGCACCTAAAAATGATTCGGTGTTATCCCACTGCAATTCATTTTTCGTTTAGTAAAGACTGTTCCATCATTGTGAACTACGACACTAATCCCTTAAAGTACATAAAAAATCCCATTGGTCTTTTGTTACGCAATATACCGGGAGTGGTGATACCACTGCACTGTTATTACCTTAGTATTGTCTGTTTCTGCAGCTGTAGCAGACACTGGCCGCTTCAGTAGCCAGTTGTGGAATATACCTAATATTTCACTAAGAGAAAGTTTCGATTTCGATGGAAAAGCACCTAAAACATCATCATAATATACGGTCTACCAACTACTACAGACTTCTTCATAAAACAGTGGTTGCATCTGAATGCACGGCCATCAGTAGCCGGCAATACTTTTACAGTCATTGCTTCACCACATGTGTTTGCCTTAATCCTCCCTACTAACTCATTTTCCTTACAGAGGTCAATAACCAAACCTGGGCGAAACCTGTGACGAACACTATGGATAATATCCATGTAAATGGATTGCAACTGTAATGCTGAGTGACCTGATTAGTTGTTTCAGGGTCACTTGACTTTTGCGTTTAGTGTTTACTATAGCCCTTAAAACGCACCTAGCACCGTCTGTTTGCATAAAACAAATATTACCCAAACGCCTTACATCCATGCATTGTAACCGACTGAGAAAGACTGAAACTTGCGACACAATACTTAATAATAATATATATTTTCATATAAACATAAATTTACATGAAAATGCATGCCATTTTTACAGGCACGATCAAGTATGATATAATGTCAAATAGTAGATTGTCTACAAGTTAATACTGTTTGAACAGCTAAATATTTGATATATATATATAAATACAATCATCCTAAGTTAGTGATGAAATAGGGGAGTTATTAGGAAAACCGAAGAGCTTATGGAACCGGTTTACTGTAACAGGTAGGGAGGATTTTCAGATGGAATATCGCCAAAATTCGAAAAATGTGTAAGTATATGATCGACAAAAGTCGTAAACAGTATGCGGGATAGTCAGCACTGAATTTTTTATTTTTTCCAAAAGAGTGTACTCGCATATCAAACTCAGGATCAAAACTAGTAGTGATATACCGTCACTCATAAGTAATACTGAACAGGTGGCTGAGTAAGACGAAATAAAGGCCTAAAGTCTCTCTGAATACTTTCGCGATGTCCTTTCGGCTAATCGTACCACTCAGGGGTGTAGCAAAGTCACCGCTGTACCAACTGTTCTACTTTCTGAAGGGAATGCGATGATGTTCTATCCACAGAGGTGAGGAATTATATAAATCCACAGTTCTTGTTGTATGTATTCAGTGGAGGTAGAAGTCAACGAAGTACTGCATTAAAAGCATACGTGTACACTCCATGATCATGGCGACGCTTCGCGGAGTATATCAAAATAGTAGAATAATCAAACCACGCACTAAATGGAATTAACTAAATGCGCACCGCAAACAAGTTGCAGTATACATCTGGATATTCGTCCACATGTTGATCGTGATGACAAATCCATATCATCACCCATACAGCGCCAATAAACCGGGCTATCTATGAAATAACGAAAATATGCTAACAGCTGTATTTCAGATCCCACTGACTCATTCGGTGGTGATATTTTGCTCCCGTATGCTTCGTTCGACATTTTGTATACACTGGCTCGCAGTCATTCTGGTTCTAGGCCGAAAGGAATCAAAAATTAAACGGTTACTGAATGATTTATACGTATCTGCGTGTTTAACTGGTTACTAAGTGATGTGGTGACCCTCTTGCAGATTATCTGGCTGAAAACGTTGTCGGCAGACTAACTAACGTTATATAACCCGTTTTTATACTTTTGTCAGTAGCCCACCATAACGACCAAATGTAACGCAACACTCAGTTGTTACGCTCGTTTTCGACAAATTCAAACAATAATGGTGCCTAGGAATATATCATATAAATTGTTTTAACTTATGCAGAGTATGGTTGCTGTCATTATTCCATTAACTTTCCTTGTATGTATATTTGGTGTCAGCGAAAAATTGTCAACATGCTTACTCAATGTATAAATTATTATCACATTGATAATGCCAATTAACTGGAGTCCCTCATGTAAATGAAGTGAGAATATATTTTTTTAAAGACTCATTTCATGGTTATATGAGGGAAATTACTTCAAGCTTTATTTTTTCCAAGTATCTGTAATTCATCCAACACATACTTGGGTTTTTTTGTTAATGTGAAGTCAATATCTCTATATTTCTCGATGTGGTCCATTGAATGACTAGTTATCAGATTGTTCCAGGTGGAAAGCAGCGCCGAGTGGAGTACCTCGAGGAACTGTACTTTGCCCCCTGCTGTTCATATTATACGTAAATTAACTGTCGAAAATTCTTACCTTGTCTTCCTGATTATTTGCCGACGATATTAAGATATGGAAAACTGCAAATAATAACGATGATAGTTTGGTACTGCAAAACAATCTAGATATATTAACCGAATGGGCTAACCTCTGAAGTCTGGAGATTAATCCCGAGAAAAGCGCGGAAATGCACCCAGGTCAGAGGTCTTACATATCGTACTCCGTGGGGGAAACAGAACTGCCAAATGTTCAGGGGCGAAAGGACTTAGAAATTATTGTAAATCATGACTTTAAAACAAAGGCAAATTGCGATGGAGCCATAGCTACGGCTTTTCGAATGCTGTAAGCACTTCCAAGGGTTTTCAAACGATTAGACAAGAGTATGTTCCAAGTACTCTATGCATCACATGTCAGACCTCATCTACAATACTGCATACAAGCGGCGAGTCCATGCTACAAAAAAGAGGCACATATACTGAAAAGAGTAGAGAGGGTAGGAAAAAATCAGTTACTGGTACCTCACACTTTCACTATGATAAGAGGATGGACCATTTAAATCTCTTCCCATTATCATACCGAAGGAGGAGAAGTGACTTTATTTTGGATTGACATTTCTAATCTTTTCTCTCCTTCTAGGATGCACTTATGTTGCCACCGCAAAAATGTGCTCAAACCGAGGTCAAACGAAAAACCTGTGGAATCTAGATTTTCTCACATAGTAGTGAACGGCTAGAACTCCTTGCACAATTCAGAAGTAACAGCTCCATCGGTGAACGCCTTCAAAGAGAAATTAGATCAGGGCCAAGTTAAACTGTCAAAGTCGAAACGGCAGTGACACTGGACAACGTGTATCGGACTAATCGGATAAGCTCCTTTATACGCGAAGGCAAATAACAAAACAAATACAAACTTGCTTTAAGATATATTTAGGTCTATATAAGTAAGTATACATATATCGAGAAAGGAATTAGTCCAAAGAAATTGAATACATATAAGATACAGTTATTTGGTTATTTACTGTCGTCCCAAAAATACACAAATAAAGACGTACAGAGTTGGAGACATTAAGTAGTCTTTTTAATCCGCTGTTGCTCATTTCACGCAGAGGTGCTAACGAAGAGAATAGGAGGTTGCAGCAAAGCATTCAAAATGTGGATGTACGGATTAGGCACTGACCAGCGATGACTGACACTAGTGGGAGGCAAAAAACTGGAGAAGGAAAGTTGTATCGTCTGTAGTGCACGATGAACAAAATGGAGTCGATTATTCAATATATCAGTTCACACGCATGATGTTCGGTGAATTCATTGTCTTTACTTTTTTTACAGTGCACATATAATTTGATATTTTTCGGCCTCCACAAACCAATCAGAGTTCAGATACAAAAAAGTTGCATTATTGTTGAGAAATACACTAAACAACATTGCAAACTAGATAGTACACTGTATTGTTTAGCTTATGTGTTTTACGAATGTCTCCTAGTCAATACACATCTGATCTACAGAGAAATGGTGCCACGCGCGATATACCCATTCATCCAGTTGACTGTAGCTCATGGTACTGTGAGATCCATTGATATTTCTTACACTTTATTCCAACCTACCCCTTACTTTAGCCATAACCCTAACTCCTAATCGTAACTTTAATCCTAAAACTAACCTTAACCCTAGACCTTACCTTTAGTCTTAAAACGTGCAACCCTGCCTAACAGTATAGATTTACAGAAAAAGTACCAAGTAAATAAGTGGAACGCTGTATCTACCCTCTCCATGTCCAGAAAAGTAGGCGTGATCTCATTTGGATAGGTACCTGGAGGTCAACTTTTGAGGGACCTTGGCTTTAGGCTTTGTTAATTGAACCTCGCTCAGATTTTTGCCGAGAATAAATTGGGAACAAGAGCCTTCTATCCTTATCATCTGGATCTGGGTTAATGACATTGAGCGACCAGTCAGTTGAGTCCGTGGTATATAGGCCGAATTATGGATGCATATCACATCTGTTGGCAAAGTAAAAAGTAAACTGCCAGTCAGCGGATCACCCTGAACGCGTCAGTCACATGAACGAGGCATTTTTCGGTATGGAATAGAAGCAGAATAGAAACTCCATCTTGTGTGAATAAAACTCATTGGACCACTCTAGACAAATGGTGAGTTCGCACTCTATAGGTTGTTAGTCGTGCTTAAAGTTTAACTTGGCCCATCTGTAAATTTATGAATACATATATATATGTATAAACTGTATTCAGCTGAATGGGCAAAGTTCTACAATAGAGTCAAGGGATACGAACGCACGAGTGACCTTAAGCCGACCAATCAGGAAAGATGAGGATTTATGCATAAAAGTTTACGTATATTTACATAAAAAAGCATGAAAAAAACATTAAACAGAGTATTGTTGTCTGGCAAGCGATCAAGGTCACTTGAGCCTTCGCACTCCTAGGACCCTCTTCTTGTACTTCGCCGCTGAATGATCTGTCTATGTGATTTCAATGCCCATTTCAGTAACGCACAATGTATATTAGCCGGAATGCTTATGCAAATGAAAATCTACCAATCACAATTTGCATAGGTGACCTTGAAGTGCTCAGCCTCCCCGTAAGACGTTGGTGCCGCTATCTTCTAGCGTGTTCCGGTATTCATTACTGCATTTATGTTCGTTCGTTGTTTGAGTCGTATTTTGTTGACATTTGTCGTATCCATTAGATATATTGCTTTCAAGAATCACCGCTGTAAACGCAACTGACGAAAGTAAACTTATGTTACTGGGATATTAGTAACATAAGTTACTAATATTCCAGTCAGAGAATGCACCTGGGCAATGTGAGCTAAATGGGTAGTTTTGATCGGCAAATAGGTGGGCAAAAGATGGTGTGAATGCTACATAATTTGGCCACTTTGCCCACTTTGGCGACTTTTTCCCCGTTTACCCATGTCCAGAAAAATTTAATTGTCCCACTTTTTCCCAGTTTATCCACCTTTTCAACGAACACTTTACCCACTTTCTCCAACTTCACCCATGTCATTTTCTAAAGCAGCCCACTTATTCCCGCTTCATCCATGTTACAACCGAAAATAGCCCACCTTTTCCCACTTTGCCCAAATTTGAGCGAAAAACTGCCCACGTTTTACCCACATATCCCAGGTCAAAAATTTTTTAACCGACTGGGTAGTGGAATACAAAGCCCCATAGTAATACTTATAGGTAGATATATGTACATATAATATCCACAGATATAGTGATTTCCATATGTTAATATTCTAGAATGTTTCTGAAGAATGATTGCTGTATAGTAATAAATTTAAAGAATAATAATAAAGAATAAGTTCCGCCGGGTATTTTAATGAGTGCTGTCGTTTGTTCACAGTAGCACAAACATGTTTGCATCGCACTGAGATCTGACTGGCATAGGCAAAGAATAGTACTTTGTGGGCCAAAGAGTTTTCACAAGCAGCAGTGGTGTTTTGACGTTCTCATATTTTTTTTTTGAAATTTTTCTAATAAAAGAAGTGGTAGAATTAGATTTCCAGATGAAAACACGCACTTAATGCGTGAAGAGCTATGTGTTTATCTGGATAGCTCGAAAGGATAGTGTGTGATATACGGATGCTAATGTAGAAGGCGTGAAACGGCATGTCTACTCCCATGGTGATAGTAACGAGTTAGCCGACTTGTCAGTCCAGTGACTTGATTTAGTTCACCTCAACGAAATCAGTACAATCCGCGTCTTGCCGTAAGAGGATCTTTATAGTACCCGATCACTAACAAGATAGGTGATTCTGATTCATCGAATATATATATATATATATATATATATATACCTGTATGTATACATTGTATCAAATATAATTCCCATTCTGCTGTAAAACTACCTAAACAAGAGGTCTTGTTGGTAAACATCATCGTGATGTATAAATAAGACCCAAGTTTAGCTATTTGGGGATACATATTGTAAGTTTAGTGCGTCAGCTGTGTGTATAAACTAGCTACCCACACAATTTGTGTGATTGCTTTTGTACCCCTTTTGACTAATCCTTTAAACCCATTTAGTCTTAAATACCTCAGCTGTTTGTGCGTCGTGCTATTTCCTACTTGGATGTCCAGCTAGATTTCCTGTATTAGCCTAGCTAATCAGAATGCACTCGCTTGTCATCTGGCAACACTTCCATTTATTAGCATTAAATGCCTTACCTGAGTCCCACCTAAATGTTGATTGAGGCGACATTTGTATAATTCCAGTGTGTGAGATTATAAGTGAACTGTGGAAAACTGAGTGCTGTATCTTCAATCTCCACCTTCGGTAATAATCTGTTCGCTTCCGAACTTGTCACTCTACGTACACCAGAAGCTTCTTAGTAAGTCTGTGGTTGTTTTGGTAACTTCAAATTCATACTGTCAAAACACCAACTTCATCTAGAAGGGTATTAAACAGTCCATGAATTCTCATTACTACTCACCATCATTTGTGGGGCCTTCCTCCAATTTTTCGCCAGTGACCAATGTGACAACAGTGGTCATTATATTTATGTCCCGATACTGGCTTCGCTATGTTTTTTCATCACTGTTTGCCCAACTGTGTGCCACTTTAAATAAAATGACGGTTCACAGTAGGTTGGCTGGATTTTGTGGAAGTGGCATTGGCGTTTTTTTTACTTATCTGTTCTGAATTAATTCGTTCCATAGTGAGGTGTTTTATGTACTGTTCTGTCAACGTTTTCGTTGATGCTTGATGTGGTATTTGTATGCATGCAACGTCTTAATTGGTTTAAATTCCACTGTGCATCGTTTTGCTAATGGTTGCCTGGACGTTATGGGTTGTTCAGTTGATGTTATTTGTCTAATTTCGTCTGTCTTCTACTACGATTTTGTATTGTAATTCCAAACTAAATGGATTTTTGATGGCAGTATAGTCTGGTTATCTTCGTTTCGGTTCGACATTTAGTTCTGGGGGAGAAACCACACTTTTAGAATACACCTTAGTCAATAGTTGTTTTTTTGTATTGATGTAAATATTAATGCACATGCTGATGTCTACTCAAATTTGTTACCCAAACATTTGATAAGTAGTTATAAAGTTTGAGTTGTATAAGGAATTTCCAAGATTTTCGTTAGTGCAGATTTGTCTATGCGAATCAACCAGTGCGTGGGATGTTCAAGTATCTGCCCTCCGACTAAAAGTATCCGCTGTCTTCAAAACTTCAAAGTAGGCAGCGGGTAATAATTGATCCGTATTATGTCCGTTCTTCGCTGACCATTGGTTCCTCAACTAGATGTTTATGATTCATTGTACTCTTGGTTTGCTTTTACCTATGGATTATATTGCTGCATTTTGTTCTATGAAGTCTGAATGTATCGGCGGTCATGTACAGTGTTGCTGTGTATGTATAAAGGCTGTAAGATACAATTCATAATTATGCATTCCTACTTAATTTTTTCTGGTTACCAACCATACCTCCATTTGTTTCATTTATTCAATATCTCATTTAGATACGTTGATTTCAATGGATGCAACTGATAATGGATCAAATTCTCCAAATAACTGGATTTCTGAAATCCAGAAAACGTTTTCAGATATTCGTTTGTCAATGATAGATGATGACACACTGGTAAACTTATTATCAGAACGGTATGTCCACAATATGTTTACTTCTTAATTTCAGATCTGTTTCTGTACTAAATGTGGTTGATTGCGCAATGTCTTATTTCATCGCTGTGAATTTTATTGGTGGGTTAATGGTTAATGACTCATATGAGTTGGATGGATGCCACCAGTTAGCATTAGAAGACCTCACTTGTGAGGGCGAACGTCCCTTCAAACTCACTAAATCTCTAAGCTTACTTTGGTTATGTAAACGCTTGTGCAGAAAAATGTCTTCCATTTCTCAAACTTTAGTAAGTTAGATACACTTAACAGTCACATTTGTGTTACAGTCATTCCTCTATCATTTGAACCTTTTGAAGTGCATTTACTTGCATCAGTACCTGATTGGTGATGAAAGATCTCCTAAATTAAAAAGTGAATTTCATGAAATCATCGACGTCTGTATGTAATTGATATTTATAATTCCAGTACTGTTCAGGTGAAAAAGAAGCCAACAATTTTTCTACTGAAGATTGGATTCACTATTTGATGTTATCTTCATATTTAAGCGCCTTTTACTATGAATATGAAAATTCAAAAACTTTCGCATCAAAATGTGCTGAATATTTAAACATAGATGTTAAATTCGATGGTAATTGTGAACTTTGAGAATTTCATAAATCTCACAGGTGTTTTGGGTAAATGCACCAGATTTCAAGAAAAAGAAGTTGCAAATCTGACAGTTAAAGTTAGTAGGTTATTAGAAGTAAAAGATGATGAAAGTTCATGTAACGATGCTCTACCTCAGGTAATAAAAGTTCCTTCAAATATATATTTTTGAAAGATAATATCTCTTAATGATGATGTACTTCTTAATAGTGTTGCACTTAGTACAAACGATGAACAAAAACCCCTTTCAAATATAGAGCAGTCCTTTATTTTGTTATTGTGGTAAGTTGCTTTTAAAAAAGTGGAAATCTTGTTCGTTAGTGAACTTCATCGTCGCTACTACCCACGGGATGATCTAACTGCACAACAGTGTCTAGCTTATATAAACACTGTTATCCGAGCCGTGTATCCTGATTCCATAAGTGAAATAAAGAGTAGTTCCTCTTGGCCCATCGCAACAGAAATGTTGTTTAGAAGAAGTTTGCTGGAACATCATTCTGTTCGAAGAACGGAGCGTGCACTATCGCAACTAGAAGTAAAGACATGTCTTTTTACTGATATTTTATTTGGTGATTTCAGGAGTTATCTAACCAGTTTAGCAGGACCAGTCCACCACTTTCAGATAGATCTGTTGGGAGCTTTTTTCTTTCAAGAATGCCTTCTATTTGGACTTTACAAGTAAGTAATTTATTAGAATTTTCGTGGATTCATGCAACTGCTCATGTTTTTCCAAGCGGTTATGTATACATTTTCTGAATTATTGACAATAGCTTTTGCAGACTGCTACTTTTGATTTATGATAATCCCACAACTACAAATGGTAACAGGGAGAGTGATGCTCAGGAAGGTTTAGTGTGCTTTTGGAAGTGTGTGGGCGGTTGTTACTTCCCGGCTGCCCACCCAGTGGAAGTTGACTGATTCTTCGGGAACCTGAAACAGAAGGAGTGTTGCGTGACCGCAGAGCCCAGGGGACAACTGCTTGAGGCCGGTCACACGCGGCCTGTTTTTGTTTGGTGTGTCTCAGTAGCATATTCTGCCCTGTGACACGGCAGCAAGAAGCGCGGTCGTTGTTAATCTGGGCCCTACCGATCAGGCATGATATTTTGTGAATTTGTTTGAGTCATAGTATTGAATTTGGTAGTTGCTTTTTGTCTAACCGCTATCCAAACAACCTTCCTGGCATGGTAGGACCTGCAGGAACATAAGTTCCAGCCAGTGTAGCTCGTTGGGTCATTGCGATATGCAAGCCCGACCACCACGTCAAGGTAGCAGCTAACGGTCGTGACAAATGGCAACCATAGTTTGTATGGACACTTATAACCTCCTGCTGTGAAAAAACTAATGGTGTCAGTGGAGGTCATTTCTTGACTTTTTCCAGATTAGTACAATTCATTTTCTCTCTGCTTAGTATTGCTCAACTTCAGTGGTGAAAACCTTTTTACCTCAGGCTGCCTATTTACATTTATGTTACAGTATTACGCATTAAAATATATCCGTTTATTTATGAATAAAAAAGCCATAGTAAATTTCCCTTCAACCTATGGGATTTGAAAATGACGAAATTTGTTTCATGTATTAATTGTTCGTCTAAGTAGCTAGAGAGAATTAAAATCTCAGATCACAATTATTCTGGGTACACTGCCAGTACACCAGTGAGCCTGACCCAGAATAAGTAAGACGGCTGTTCATTATGTAAGTCACTTTGGTATGATTATTAATTGCCAATGTTTGATGTCAATGGTTTCATACCAGTCAGTAGTAAATGTTATCTTAAGACCTTGGTATCGCTTACTAATCTTCCAATTATTCACTCTTTCGTACATCTTCATATGTTAAGGTGTTACTACATTTCTTTTCACTTTGTTGTGCTTCTCCAAAGTGTGGTAACTTAAACTGACTCAGAATTTAACTGTTGGATGGTGACTATCAGTAGAATCCAGGATGGGCATCTCTTCCTGTTCCGGACTCGTCATCTGGATGTACCCGCAGAAGAGCCACCTCTTGTGCCTCGGTGGGAACATCATCACTCACTGGGGAATGCAGGTACATCCAACTGACGAGTCCCAAATAGGACGAAACGCGCGTCCTGGATTCCACTGCTAGTCACCATCCACCAGTTAAATTCTAACTACATGCCCAGACATCGTCGAAGCATCTGCACAAAAAGCCGACATGTCAACCTGAGACCGAGCACTTCGGTCCAATCAATCGACGGGAAAATCTAAAATTCAATTAAAAAAAATTAAACTGACTCACTTTGTGCAAATTTCTACCTTGATAAGTCAGTCAATCAATCAATCATCAAATATGGTTTGGCTAAATAGATCTCTGTTTTGCTTATTCGTGAATACTAAATTCTTTTTCTAATTGGCCAATTAAAATTTTGTAAATCCAGTTTTCATTTATTCTAACAGCCGAATTTTACTTTCCTGTTCAGATTGAACAAGGTCGGTTACTCATGAAGATCGGATGTTATAAGAGCGCCCTGGATAGTTTTCTTCTGTGGGATAAATGGTCAGAAATAATTGAATGTTATACACATTTGAATAAAAGAGAAAAAGTATGTCCTATTCTTATTAATCTGTTTCACTGACATTACTAATGTGTTGCTTCTATGTTAATTTTTCGTATCAAGACGTGTAGGTTTTAAACTTAACAATGTTCCTAGGGAAGTTATCGCTAAATATTTATGAAAGCCTTTATGTTGGCTACCACACTTTTATGGCTTTTATTAAGCCCACCGTATAGCTTCTCAAATGATCCTGTAATCTAAGATAATAAGTTATATGTTGTTTAAAAAAACCAGTGACTATCATAAACATTAGTTATATCTGCAAATTCCCTGGTTTGCCGTCTCAGTCGTAATGAGGATGATAAACTTATATTTTATTTATTACACAGTTCACAATAATACTAAGTGTTGTCTAGCTTTCTGGAATGTTTCAGATTACTTCTAGATTGAGAATGATACCTTTGTAAGATCTAGTAATTTTCCTGGATTATGCCACTGTTTGCATTTTACTGTGACATTCTATACATTTTGGGATAAACTTTTCCACCCTTATACACTTTGATTCTAGTGGTGTCTTCTCCACTGTTTTATTCCAACACAAACAAATATCCACGTTATTTTTTTAAGTGATCGGACAATACTTGATTCGGGTTCCTTCTAACTAACTGCTTGTGCACTAAGAAACTTGTAATTCATTCACAGTACTTTAACACGACATTACATAACTGACCACTTGAACACTATTCTCACAGAGGGGGAGATTTATTATCTCAGAGAAAGAGCAAATGACCAGATTACAATTACTTATGTAGCTACTTTACATGACTAATAACTTACAAGTTTAATTTGTAGAAACTATTTTAAGTGGTTAACGTATCAGTCGAGATTCAGGGACACGACCTCTGGACTTGGTTAAGGCTAAATGTCTAGTATACAACTTACGCGGAAAACACTAATAATATCCCTATCCTAAAAATTTCCCATGTAGCCTAGTAGTGATATGAACTGGAAATATGTTTTTATCATGAACTAGCGTCAACTGAATAACCACTGGAAATAGGTTATTTGAGCCTGAAGTTAATACTAAATATAATTGCTTTGTAGAACGATTTTATTTGATATAACATAATGATACAATACTACTTACCTAAAATCTAGTGACAGGCGTCGAACATTCAAATTCCCTTGCTATTGTGGGGATACTGCTTACTAGTTGAAGCCAGTAAAAAGGAGTTACTTGGTCGGGACTATGAATGCGTGACCGCATGAGAGCATTTCGAGGAGGAGACCGGAGCTTACTGCTCCTCGGGTTTGGCTCTGAAGTCACGCGATTAAAATGTTGTTAGTTATTTGTTCTCTTTTTTCTTAACTTCATGCGTTTCTGTGGTATACCGTACCTTCATTCTTTTAAAGTGTGAAAAACTGCTTAGAAATTTGTTTCGTTACATTTTCCATATGCGGGGGAAGCTTTGAATTCCAGTAAACTTTTCAGTAGTCAAAAGTGGTAATGGTCTTAAATTTGCTTCGGCATTTGTTCTTTATGACTGTATACTAATGGTGGTCTTACTTTTACCCTTGTCACCATGTTCCCAAGTTGTCGATAAGTTCGTGTATCTGGGTAGTTGTGTGAGCGCTGGTGAAGGTGTGGTGGACGAGATTATCAACAGTATCATGAAAGCTAGGGTGGCATGCGTCACCTCAGATGCGCTGATCAGAGCATGTGAATACAATCGTTATGGCAAAGCAAAAATAACACCACTTGCTGCTTGTAGAAACATCATTATACTTAATTTGAAAAGGCATTCTGTAAAAATAATTTCCATTTCATCTCATATTTCTGCACAACCAGTTACATAACTGAGCTTAATGTGTACAAGTTTAGAGAAATGACAGCGAACCATTATTAAACTGTATACGTCTTTAGAAAATCACTGTGCGTTGTAATTATACTGTCAATAGTTCTTCATAAATGTTTACTTCGTGCGATTAATGTGTCACTGGGTTTTCTTTTCCACCACTTTTGGACACAATAGATACCATACACTTATTTTTAGTGAAATAAAGTCCAAGATTTTGTTCCTCAACCCAGCATTCAATGTCACACTACCACTGATGGTGAGACTTCTGAAAAAAGGTTGAATATGGTCAATGTGATCATAATAATCCATTTTATACAAGAAACATATCTAGAAGTAAAGTTAATTTAAAGCGGTTTTCTTTCCCAATTCAAATCTGGCGACATTTTCGACTGAAAAAGATAAAATTTCCTACATAATAATTCATTTATGGTACATTCTAACTCTTAGAACTTTTTTTCTTCTGTTTATCATTACTGTAAACGCGGTTAGGCAGAAGAAGTAATTCGTTCTCGTTTAGATGCTGGAGACAAATCTGCTGATTTATATTGCGCCCTTGGAGATGTAACAAATGATCGTCAGTATTATTTAACGGCGTGGGATGTATCGAATCACAAGTCAGCTCGAGCTATGCGCAGTTTAGCTGTTGTTTATATGTATATGGATAAAGTATGCCTACGTTTTTCTCTTCATATGAGTTTTAGGATTACAGTAATGCAATCGAATGCTTTGAAAAGTCATTGGGAATTAACAATATGCAGGTAAAAACTGTACATTATTTAGTTGTATTTTATACATTTGTGACAAACTAGTGTAGAAATTGGTATACATTATTTCTATAAGTGTTTGGAATATATCTTCATATAATTAATTCTATTTACTTTCCCAGTGGAACATATGGGATCATATGGCTTCAAGCTAGAGGCCTGAAGTTTCAGTAGCAGCGGTGTTTATTTTTACGGGATGGGGCTGCTAGTCTCATGCCCAACCTTCCTTCTTTATCAGTCTTATTACTGGCCTCGTGAGGTAAAGGAGTGCGTCGGTTGGTGATCGAACCCCGGACCACATGCGTGATCGGCGAGCATTCTACCGCTGTGCCACCGACGCGCAATTAATTATCTAACGAAATAATATTCATTCGAAAGTGACTAAAAGTTATTGAAATAAAAAAGCACGCTACTGTGAATGAAAATGCCTTTAAAGTATTAGTTTCTTTCACACATAACTTTATCTGACTATTAATTTAGCAAGGAACAGTCTGTAATATTTCGTTGTCATCCCTGAACATTTAATTCTTTCATTGCATCTGTTTAGAACAAAAAAGAAGCAAATCCTGGGAACAATGTTTAGTATTTTAAGACATAGAAGACTCGATTCCGTTGCAGAAATCCACGTGGTTTTTGAAAATTGAAATACGCAGTCTCAGATTTGATGATAAGGTATACAATCAGGGTCTCAAGAGTATGCCGCCTATCACTCACTGATTTTCTCGAGTTGTACATAGGAAAATGTGGATCAAATAGCTATGCTTAAATATACTAAACGTTTGGCTGATTTATTTAGTAACTAGTATGTATGACCACTGTATGCGATGAATATTGACTAATTTCGATTGGATTCTTTATTTCTAGTTACATATATTAGCTTAAACATTGAACAAGTAGAAATAATAATGTTGTGGTGAGAGCTGTCTGCTAGCCGAAATTGGTAGACAGCAGTTTACGTCAGTGTTTACTTCCCAAATCTTGGTCATGAGAAAAACAAGAACAAAGACTGCATGGGCGGATACGATTCGCAGATATATGGTCTGACCTTCAGAGAAACGGCCACAAAGAGATGACAGATTAACTTTCAGCGAAAAAACAACCAATCAGAAGACGCTGTTTCTATGTTAGTAATAACGAATAATAATGTACAAAAAGATATATCTGTTGATTTCCTCAATAGACGATCTGTTACCTGGCCATTGTTTCCTGTTGTTACGATATGAATGACAGCTCCATATTGCACATATTGTTGCTTATGATTCAAGTGTTTACGGGTAAAATCCATCTTATTCATCGTCGACTTTGAGATTGTCTACGTGAATTTTTGTAAGAAGCGTGTATTTAGCATTTATTAAATATTCCATTCGTGGATACACATTTCGAATGAGCCATCCAGAAAACTTTATCAAGAAAAACTTGACCAAGAAAGCAGAAAAGGACTATTCTCCATCGGTAAATAACAAACCCTTATTGAAGGGTGACGCACCTAGTGGAACAAATACTAACAAACTAAGAAAATCCGTTCAAAGAACTTTTAATGCTGATAAACTACAAGTCAGGTTTTCTACACGACCGATGGTGATTCCTCGATTGAAAGATGAAGCACCTAGACTGACCACTTCTAATATCTACCAATTCAACTGCCCTTGTGAAGCGTGTTATATTGGCCGTTACTTTAGAAACTTGATTTTTCGTGCTCAGGAACATATACCAGTATGGCTAAGTAAAAGTGTAGTAAAAACCGTCAATAGTTCTATGTTAGACGACCACCTGGTCTAAACCGGTCACAAATCCAGCATTGAGGAATCCTTCTCTATAATCTACCGGGTACCAAATGAATTGCCGAAAACATCCAGGTACCGCATACTCCAAACAGCAGAGGCTGGCGAGTCTCACCTTAAGAAACCAGTGTTTCTGTGTTCAGAAGAAGCGAATCCAGCCACTACTACTGCCCTGACCTTCACTAGAGACCATAAATTCATGAATATGTATCATTATCTTTCCTAATTTTTCTGAAGTTCAGTGTGTACTGTTATGTTGATGCTATCGAACTGTAACCTATTGATATTATTATTGATTCGAGGTTATTTAAACAACATTAATGTTGTTCATAACACTAATTCATTCATTCGCTATAATGTATATATACTGTAGAGCCTGATGATGAAGTTATCGAAAAGAATATTCTTTGTTTAGTGAACATTCTTTTGAAAAATTTTAATGGGCATTTTTAATCAGAAAATTTTAAACCTTTTATCGAATATCTTAAGTATAGTTTAAACTACAATAAATGCAGATAATTTACAATCTGAACTTGAGATACCTTCGTAATTACCGAATTTTGTTTTCCAAAATCTATTCAACACCTTGTACCACATTTCGCATTTTAATACAAAATTAACTTAGATGTGTTCTTGTTTAAGTTAAATATAACAGGTAAATAATCCAAGTAGTTGATATTTGTTTTTTAATTTTATATAATGGCTTGAAATAACTATTCATTCACTCACATAAACTGTTTACTAGTTCCTCACTAATCATGTTAATTTTTTTAGGCTGGTTTATGGTTCACATTTGGATGTTGTTGTCTACAAGCCAAGGAGTACATAAAAGCTGAAAAGGCTTTTCGTGCTTGTGTTCGTCTAGATCCTGATGTAAGTATTATCTTGTTTCTGTTAGACTTGTAAGCTGGTAACCTAAGAAAGTTATTTGCAAATTCTGCTTAAGTGTTTTGTTTGCTGTTCAAAGAGATGCGAAATTACAATCAATACGTTTCTGAAGTGCCTAATATTAGCATAAGCGTTGTTTGCAGTTGGGTGTATGAACTTTTATCACTGTCTTTGTGCTGGCTGGAGCTTCCTCATTGACTTTACTCTCATTAAGACAATCTTCATTACTTATCATCACCAAATTTTCGGGATAGATCCGTACATGTTCCCACATTATTTTTGTATTTATCAGGATAGAACACTTAATCTTATTCCTGTCGTAAATCTAGACACCGAAAGCTCAGTGGCATTCATTCCATCTTTGATTACTCATGTGATATTATGTATTACTAATAAGTAGTTGTATACAACCTGAAATCGTCAGCAAAATTCATGAAAAGGTAAGCTATGAATGAAGTTTCAGACAAGGAAAATAGAACGAATTACTCATCAATATAAAGAACAGTCTATTTCAGTAACGGCAGTATAATATATCCGGTCGCATCCTCAAATATCTAATGGTAACTAGTTCGTATCAATGATGACAAAGCGTGTTACACGATGGATAGACGCTGTCTCAATTCGTGGCTTATTGTTGCGGACCATAATATACCAAAGTTTAAACTGACAGAAAAAGATTCCTATTATGATATAAAATAGTTTTCAAGTGCTGGTCTGTAAGGATTTAATCAGTCTAAATAAATTTAGGTCACGGATTGACATCATTTAGGGAAGCATTAACTTCTGGTGGTGCTGTATATTACGAATTTGTAGAAGTCAGGGTTCATGGGCCATTTGACCGCTGACCCAGTGATTGAGTGGTCAACAGGTTCGCCTTGCCACTTGAAGGCCCTGAGTCAGATCCCCCATGGGGTTATGAATGCGTACTTTGGAAAAGTAAGTGGTGTATATCTCACCTGAAGCAGCTGGGTAGTAATAGGGCTATAACTTATAGGTAGGTAGTACACGATGTGATAAGTTCGAAAAAAGTCATGGACAAACAGACAAGCAATGGATGAAGTTCCGAACAAGAGAAATGGCATAAATGGGTTATCAATTTAGAGAGCGTGGGATGAAGAGAAGGAAGTCAAAGAGAAGCGTGTCTACAAATAGAACACGAATGCAGTATTATTACGCAGTTGTTATATTTTGTAAGTACTATGTATTATTTGCTTCATTGATAGTTGTGTACCAGCGTTCACTATTTTGTCCTTACCATCCACCTTATGCAATACATCATTTTCCCTTGCTGTATGTAGAATTTTCACTGAAGACTGTCCACTGATATTTTTTTTCAATATTTTCAGAATTACGAAGCCTGGAGTAACTGTGCTACTGCGGTTCTACTTCAAGGGAGAAAGTAAGTCGTGAATGCTGTACATATATTTTTGAAAGTTCATCACACCGACAATTGTCTTTCCTATTATAAGATATAGTGTTTATATTAGTTAATCACTGTTAAGGACTAGCGGAAAAAATCATAGGATAACATAAAAGTTGATAGGTTGGAAGATTGATTAGTTTAAAAATAGTTCACATATCAAACTGATGTAATTGAATCAAAACAAGTGTCAGTATATATTTCCCTTAAAATTAGAATCCAGTAACATGACACTGTTTTTCATCTGTTGTTAATGTCACTGTGTGCATATGTTGTAGGTAACGTATTACTAATAAGTGATTGTTATACTTTTCATATATAATAATTAGTTCACATTATATAGTGCTATAATAATTCACTGTCATGTGTAATCATCCATCTTGACTACATTCTTGACTAGTCAACGTTTTCTGCTCACTCTTATCAAATTATACACAGTTAAAACAGTGTAGTCATCAAGATTACTAGAACAACATTCAAAGTATCATCTTGTTTATATTTGAAAATATCTTGAAATCCTTTTTTGCTAACAATATCCTTTGGATTGAGGATTACTACTAACCACATTAGTCGTTTATTTCACCACAGGAATGTAGCATTGAAGCTAATGAAAGAAGCTTGTAAATATAATTATGAAAATTGGCGCTTATGGGAAAACATTTTATTAGTAAGTGTACAGAATTTTAAATTTGCTTTATTTTTCAAATCATATTGTATTATTGGTTTATTGTTTGTATTATCTGATAGTTGTACTCATCGGTCAGCGTAACTTGCTAATTGACTCAACGCAACTAGACCAGTTTCATATACACTAGGGAATAATCTCGTTGACTTAGAATATGCAGACGACATAGTCCTTCTAGGCGAGGACGCTGACAAAATGCAGAGTCTTCTGAACACCTTGAGCAACAATCTTCGTATGTTTGGCATGCGATTCGCCCCTGTAAAATGTAAGATTATGTTGCAGGATTGGACTACACCGACCCCTAGATTAGAAATAGGAAGTGAAGTGGTAGAACACGTTGACCGCTTCACTTACTTGGGAAGTACCATCAGCCCCAACGGGTTGGTCTCTGAAGAAATCTCAGCACGAATACAGAGGGCTCGTTTCGCATATGCCAGTTTACGCCGTCTCTAGCGTAGACGTGATATGCAACCATTAATCAAACGACGTGTGTGCTGCTCTGCAGTCCTCTTCATCCTCCTTTATGGTTGTGAGACATGCTGGCCATTGAAATTGGAAGACATGAAAAGGGTGGCTGGCTGCCTTTGATCATAGGTATCTGCATTCTATCTCCCGTGTTAAGTGGTATAATAAGGTGAGCGATACTGAGATCAGGCATCGGTCGATTGCTAGGTAGTAGGGGAAACCAATCGACGAGGCTGTGAAGTTACACTGATCGAGATGGTTAAGACATGTGTTACGTATGCCTAGTCATCGCCTTCCACGACGGGTAATTTTAACTGCCATAGGACCAGGTTGAAAGAGCTAGCGGCGGTCAAACGAAAACATGGCACCAGTCAATGAAATCTACAACAGTTAGTCTAAGCCACGTAGGAAGGTGTAGACTTCCTGGTTGGGGTCCTCGGGACGGTAAAAACCAATGGTTGGAAACAATTGGTGACATGGCTCAAAATCGTTCTCAATGGCGCAGATGCATCCATTCCTTGTGACTTATGATTTCGAGACAGACAGACACAAAAGAATTTGTAATTTATTGTGAAAGCATAATCTTTGTCTGATCGGTATGCTTTCCTGAAGTAAGCGACAATTGTTTAGTGTCTCATACTTTTAAGGCTTAGTGGATTGTGATTTTTGTTTTTTACTGTTCATGACTCAGTGTAGCACTGTTTCTGATGAACCCTCTCATCGCTTTTCAATAAGACTGTTTTCACATATATTCCTAGAGATGTGTTATATACTGTATTATGAGACACTTGCATGCAACTCTGTTAGTAAACGGTGTTGTTGTCTACAGTTCTGTGTAGTTATTTACTTATTATTATTATAGAATGCGTTTAGTGTGTTGGCAAATGATTACTTAACTCTGTAAGTATAGTATGTGCTTTGCGCCGTCTAAGTGCAAAGTACTGTTACAAGATTGGCAGGAGCCTGTACCTGTACTCACTCTTGCGGGTGAACTGCTTGAAGTTGTTGATAAGTTTGCGTATCTGGGTAGTTGTGTGAGTGCTGGCGGAGGGGTGACGGATGAGATTTCCAACCGTATAATGAAGGCTAGGGTGGCATACATCAATTTGAGCCACCTCTGGCGCCGTCGCGACGTTAGCCTGGCTGTCGAAGGTCGGGTATACAATGCTTCGGTGCGGGCTGTCTTGCTCTACGCCTGTGAAACCTGGCCTCTCCGAGCTGAGGATGTGCGGCGACTCTGCGTGTTCAACCGTCGCTGTCTCCGCAGGATTGCTTGCATTCGATGGCATCATCGCGTGAGTAATTCTGAGGTTCGGCAGCATGTGTTTGGACACAGTGGAGATCACCATTCATTGAGTGTCGTCATCTGGAAACACCAGCTCCGGTGACTTGGACATGTACTGCGAATGTCATCCCAGAGGCTTCCGTACTGGTCTCTGTTCGCTAACCCTGGGACGGAATGGAAAAGGCGGAGGGGTGGTCAGTCCTTGACGTAGCGTCGTAGGATGAAGGATTTTTGTGCTAGATTAGCATCGGTTGGTGCGTCACGACTCCCTGGTTGGGGTCCGCGAGATAGCTCGAAAAGTTATTGGATATAGCCAAGAATCGCAATCAATGGCGAACGTGTTGCAATTTCCTTCTTTCTTCCCTTCCTGATGATAGTTAACGAATACTGTTTGAACTTGTTAAACATGACTGTTTTCCTTCCAGATGAAGTTCTTTATCCGTTTTCTGCTTATATTTTTACTTTTAATCTATGTTGTTTTATTATTATTGTGTGGCGCATCTTTCTTGGTGCCATATTGTACCAAGTTTTTTCTACGTTTAAATAATCATGCGTAACAAATAACAAGTAGACAAAATTTCTATTGAATTTCTTTTGCAATTGATTACTGAGCTTCTACACTTGTCTACTGAATTTTAGATCAGTGTCGAAGTAAACGCTTTTGGAGATACTATGCATGCATATCATCGCTTGTTAGACTTACGTGGAAAGTATGCAAATGCACAAGTTCTTGGTATTATGGTTAAAGCTGTTATTACGGATCAAAGTGATTCGACTGGATCCCCTGCCAGTAATATACGCACAAAGTTACTTGAATTATTTGGTCGAGTGACGGCATCTGTAAGTCTCCCTTTCCAATGTTTCAACATGTGGTTTGTGTTCCACGTATCTAGTATTTTGTCATCACTTCCGTAGAATAAAATTAGAGTAGCATAACACTGTTAACTAAAAAAAATTAAACAAAGGTACATCGTGATCTTGACCTCTTTTGTTTATCTTTGTCAATGCTAATCGTCATTTTCATACAAAGTGGTGTTAGTGTATGAGAATAAACTTGGGGATAATTCCGATCATATATGTGAAGATGACAAATGAAAACGTAGTATATATTAAATGTTTATTATCAAAGTGACTATCATCATTTGCTATCTAAATACAAGCAGGAGAATTAGTATATAAACCAATTCAGCGTTATGTGCTCGTTGGCAAACCGGTGAACACTTTCAGCAATACGCATGAACTGCCTCAGGAGTGAATGTCCCCTCCTTGATTTTAATGGTTCTCCTACATTTGTCAGTTTTATTAATTCGCGAAATATACCCATTAAGACATTGAAATAAGAACAAATTAGTTCAGCGAAGAGTCTCTTTTCGGCGAATTCATTCACTTAGCTGTACAGTCGCAAATATATATACAATTATTTTGTGTGTGTGTGTGTGTGTACATTAGGTTTGTCAAAATCAAAATAACAGTTAGTGTGGGTTGTTGATTATATCATCAAGATAATGAAGAAGTTAAAATGTGTGATTAATACTCAAAGTTGTAACTAAGTGGGGTGAAGATTGGTAAGATGTGAGTAGGGTTACGTAATATGGACATGTTTAGAAAGATTAGATGCTAGTGAAGGAGTTTGGAGACAATTATGAAAATAAACTAGATAATAGGTGAAAAGATTGAATGGGTTAGTTACTAAAAATTGTTATACGAAAATTGCAAAAAAAATTTGATAACAAAATGTTGATGACAAATAAACTTGGAATTAAACCCACGGTAGTAGGAGGGGGTGGAGAAGTTTCTTCTGTGTGCATAACTCAGGCTTTTCCATCCAAATCGCTAAGGCTTCAGCAATACAAAGTATACGGAAGCTTGTCGATTTTGGAAGGCTTCTTTTGACTTTATAGATGACTTTGAACGACTTCTCCTTGCAAATCGAATGACCAGTGTTGAGTATATGCTCAATAATGGCGCTCCTTATTGCTCCGTTGTTACCTTTCCGTAGCCAGGCGGGATAGTGTTCTTGAACTCTTTTAGATAAAACACGCATCGAACGACCTATATACCTCGCTCCACAAGAGCAGGTGAATTGGTAGATACACATGGAAGTGGTCAAATGCGATAGTTTATCTTTAGAGTAGTTGAAGAACAATGGCCGGGAGGAAAATGTCAGTCGTAGTGTGGCAGCGAAGAATGTCCTTCTGAGAGCAGTAGATATCCTCTTCTTCAAGGTGTCAGCCAGAAGGTCACCTTTGAAGGGTACATTCATGTAGACCATCTTCTTCTGCACTGTAATGGGTTGTTCTTTGTACGTCTTAGGCTTAATGTGCTTGTCTATAAAACGGGGTGGGTAGCCATTCTCGAGCAGTGTCTTCCTTAAGAGGGCGATCTCTTCCTCTATTGATTCTGGACTACAGATTTTTCGGATTCTAGTCGCCAGAGATATTATCAAATTTCGCTTGCGACTTATTGGTACCCAACTGTAGAAGTTTGTCAACTGACCGTTCCATGTAGGTTTTCTGTGTACTGATCTGTTCAAGGTACCATCGGTCTTCTTACTTAGACGAACGTCCAGAAAGGAGATTGTCTCATTGGTTTCTACTTCGATTGTAAATTTGATGGCAGGGTGGCAACTATTGAAAACTTGAAGAACAATATTTTGATCACAATTGTGATCGCAGATGACGAAAGTATCATCGACATACCTTTTGTATAAGAAGAATTTGTCGATGGTTGCTTTCAGCGGACCGTTTTCCAAACTTGCCATGAAAATATCAGCCAGCACCGGACCCAAAGGTGATCCCATCGCCACGCCATCTTTTTGTCTATAGAAGTTCCCATTGAATGTGAACTGGACATTTAGGGTACATCTGAGTAGGAGTTCTTTTAGCTTGGTGGTAGGTATTCCAATATCCAGGTTGTTTTCTTCCAAGTATTTGCATAGAAAACAAATCGTCTCAGTGATAGGGACGTTTGTAAAGAGAGACTCGACGTCGAGTGAAATCATACGTTTGTCTCCCACTTTAACATCTTTGATGCAATCGATGAATTCAAAGGTATCCCGAAGAGAATGTTTTGAAATTCGTTCTCTAACAGGTTGTAGGAGTTCTGCTAGCCATTTCGCTATTGGATGATATGGAGATCCCGACATGTCCAAAATAGGGCGCAGTGGAAGACCCTGTTTATGAGTTTTTGGCAATCCGTATAGTCGGGGTATTATTGAACCTGTGGGTCGAATGCTCTCGAAGACATTTTCAGAGATAACTTGATCAGTCTTTAGCTTTCTCAAGATCTCAGTTAGCTGTTTTTCCGTCGCTTCGGTTTTGTCTTTCTCTTTTTCGAGTACTGAGAACTTATGCAATTGTACAACTTGAGAATGATATCGCCGAAAAGAGTGAACCTTCTTTCAAGGCTTTTTCTTTTATATGACTCAATGGGAATTTTCAAATAATGCATTTATCTGAAACACAGACTCGCTACAAAATGATGTGCTTTAGAAAATGACAAAACAACAATATAAGTAGAAAAGGGTAAAATAGGTTGAGGAGAAATGAATTGATAAGTAGTTCAGCATACTTATCAGTAGCATGCTAAGTAGCTGCCATTATGTCATATAACCTTGGGGAAGAGAAGGAGAGAAAAGCTGCTACCCTGTTCACCAATGATTTCCATCCTGGGCCATACGCTTAGTGACATATCCAGGAAGCTGTGATGCAACTATTCTCCATTTCAAAACAGTACGCCGTGTGCTTTAAAAGTTTAGTAATAACAAGTGAAAAGCATATGTCGAAATCTAATTTGCTTAGTATTCATACTGTGACATGGGTAAATTGTGGTGACGTAATCAGCAGTTATTTCTGAATGAATTAATAAGATATTTTGTTTCTATTTTTTAAAGTTGAATAGAAATCCCTTCTTTAATCCTTTGCATTCTCATCTATTTTATTCAACAGACACCAACAGAAGCTTTGATATGGGAGGAGTATGCACATCTCTTACTTGATGAAATCCCACAGTTAAGTTCTACAACTTACCAACGTGTAAGTAAAAATAATTTCTATTTTATACTGTGTAATTGAGTTCTATGATGCATTTATTTCATCCTAGTTAGATGTTTTTAAATATGATGATTTTGTACATATAACAAGATGAATATATATGAATTTATGATGCAACTTTCAGTTCAGATACATGTTATTATAATGTGTATAAGAAGTTACTACTTATCAGCTATATTCATATTCATAAACCTACGCCTATTATGTGGAAGTGATATTGTAGCGTGCGCTACTGTTTAAGACTTATCAGTAGTATATAAAGAGACGTTCATCGGCATAAAAATATCAAACAGCGGAGAGATAGATTTGACGTCAAAGAGGGCAAAGTATTCAGCGTTGAGGCAAAACATAGGAAACGTGAAGAGGAAGACAAAAACATAATACGAAGGACAGAAGTAGCACAACACCAGAGATCTGTGCAAATGACGGTGTACAGATAAGGTGTACATAATTTCGCTGTATAGAAATACCAAATTGCCAATAAACATCGCTTTTTTGATTTGACACTGGTAACTGGTGTGATGTGTCTAGTCCTCTCTCTGGTGCAGACTGAATTCTATCAGTCAGGTTTTAATGTGGCCACCATTCTAGGTAGCTCGCCATCACAGTGCACATTGATTTGATGATATGGAGGCAGTCGACAGGAAGTCTTGGACCTAGGTTTCGTGCTAGTTGGGACTCGTCAGCAAGGCGTGAAGGAACTCATGACCCTTCTAAGATTCGAACACGCGTCACCCAGTGCTGCAGTCAGAGACGTTACCACTGAGCTGTTCGGGCTCGTGATTGACCTCCTGTAGGACTGTAGTGGATATTTTTGATTTACCAAGTCTCTTGTCTTCTACCATTATAATATTTCCTGGTAGGAAGACTATTTCAAATCTACAACCCTTTATTTTAAAGTCAAATTGCTATATTGATATATCCTAATCTCATAAAAAACGGAATACTCTATACTACTGTTGAATACTCAAATGAGACGAATGCTTTTATTCTTGTTCAAACTATTTAATGTTATTAATCTTCTGCATATGGCTAATTGTGCAGTTGTGTGAGGCAATCACTATTAATGCATATCACTAAAATAGTTTCGGAGTACATGTTGTGAATTATTTTACGTCCACTTTATCAAAATAAAATGAGAAAGTCTTTAGAGAATAAATTTTGTGTTCATCCTCAGACTCACTGTTATGGTCATGTTAATTCCTTGTTTTAGGTAACTGTGATCTGGTAGCTTGAAGTAGATGTTCAGCTTCATTTGTCAAACTAAAACATCAGAGCTATAAATAGTTATACGATATCCTTTAGTTTACAACAAAGGATAATTTGCACTCACTTCTCCTGTAAATGACATTATAATTATTTAAATTGTATAAGATTTCATGTAAAGTTGTTCTTGTTCAAAACTCCAGGTTATTGCTTTTGTTTCGTTGCTAGCTTTAAGCCTTGTTTTTATGTCTCTCATATATTCAATAAATTGTCTGACAGTTATGTAAAATAAGTTTAATGACTGAATCGCTGATAGTTTTGCTGGACACCTGCTTTATACACCAAATGAATTTTATCTACTAGTCAGTGTGTGCAGGTTAAGCGTAAAAACAATAGTTCATGAGCTGATATTCTCATTATTTACTTTAGCTCCTCTATTAGATTTCATTTCTTAAAATTGTTCTGTTTTCGGTGAATTTGAAGGCTGTCCAGTGTCTTCAAACAGCTCATCGTTGCCGTATACAATCAAGTGAAGGACCGTGGGAACAGTCTACAGATAAACGTAAAGCAGTTGTGGATGGTTTGAAAGCTTTAGCCGATTTACTAGATGATCCTCCTAAGTTTGAGAACAATAACGATAACGAGTCGGAAGCACAACAACTGGCTACTTTTATTCAGTCCAGTTTGGCTAGTCTTCGAATGAGTGTAAAGTTGGTCATTGCCAAATTGAAAGTAAGTCTTTTTTTTCTGTCGCTTATCAATAGCGGAGTTGTAAATTTTATGTCTATCAAATGTAAATTTACACATTTGCGCCTTATGCTCCAACAACTTCACTGTAATATATTCAAGTAATAGCAATATTAATACTTTTCAAACTGTTATATACCTTTATCCCTGTCCATGTGTTTCCTGTAAACACCCCCTGTTCTGAATTTGGTGAGTTAAGCTGTACCCACGCCAAGCCCATTATAAAAAAAGCAGGATTACTTAGCATGATACTCGTGAGGACACTTGAAGATTGATTCATGTGTTGGTACACTTTTGCTATATGTTCACTTTATACGATAACTCATGAAAATGCAGTAAGTGATTTAAGTAATTTCCAAATTCCCATTTACGCATTTAGAAAAAAACAAACAACACATTGAGCGAAGAAATGTATTCCTTTCCAATTAGCTCCTCATCATTGGCTCTACATTAATATATAGTTTATGACATCAACATTTTTTACCAATCAAGTGGTTATTTTAGTTATTCACTTTTTCGTGTAGCGGGTGGAGAGTGAAATTAAGAGGTTAAAAGTTATCAAAACAATTAACTAATATATGTCAGTAACAAGGGAAGAGGCGAGTGGGATGTCCAAAGGGGAAATGGAAGAGATCGTGTGAAGAGGAATTGAAACAGTATGGATTAATATGGACGCAGGTGAAAAGTACAGCAGAAGACAGAAGCAAGTGGAGACGTGTAGTTGAAGCCCTATGTTCCAATAGGAACCCTCCTCTTGCTATACGAAAAAGTGATTAACTAAAATAACCATTTGATTGGTAAAAAATGTTGTAAAAAACTATATATATATACATATATATATATATATATATATATATTAATGTAGAGGCAATGATGAGGAGCTAATTGGAAAGGAATAGATTTCTTCGCACAATCTGTCGTTTTTTCCTAAGTAGGTGATTTTTTTCCCTAAGATGCAGTAATCCAAACAATACATTATATGCCAGTATTTGAAAGACTAATATGTTAGTCGAAAATGGGATTATGTAAAACAACTATGAAATAAAAATCTTAATGCAAAGTTGTTTAACAAAACCTAATAAAATCAGTTAAATTTACTTTTCCAAAGTCCATACTTTTAACTTTTCCTGTTGTTCCAGCGATAAGTTTATGTCTCTTTTGATTTGTGTGTCTGAATGTTTCTAATTTTCTAAACAATATTTATGATCCGGAAATTAAAATTTAAAGAGTTGAAAATCTGTGATAAGTTAACTGTTTATCTCTTGTTAGATATTGGTTATCTTCCTTTTCCGATTGGAATTGTGAAGGATTAAGATGACTTTAAAAGGATTACCCATGATTGTCATTCCTCGAACTATCATTGAACCCTGAGCTACTTCTGTTTGTAAATATCTTCGTGTGAAGCCAGTCAGAGGTAATACGTTTTTGTCTCCTCAGCAACACAGCAACTTTTCAGTATTCATCACCGTCAATATATGTACCTGGATGATAATTGTAAGAATAGTAACAGACTTGTATTGAACTGCTATTCATTATGTCGCAGTCACCTCCACAGCCATCTTTTAGTATTTAACAATAGTGTATCTTAGCGGTAGTTATATCAGCTGTCGACTTGCAATCAATCGGGTTAATAAGTTTGTATGACCGGCGACAATAATCTGAAAAATTCACTCAGGTTTCCCTTCTAAAGATAACTTTCGTTCGTCATATTTTAAAGCCTATGTGAATAAACCACAATAATTTTACACGTAAAACAGTTGTGCTGATTCTCAATAATTTGCACAAATTTTACATTTACATAAGAAACTCATTTTCCTTGAATGTCGAATTGATGAACGAAGGTTCTACACTTTTCTTATGGTTGTTGAAATCGGATTCAAGTATTGGTTTATAGGGATTTGGTTGATTAGTTACAGGATTTCATCATGAGCTGACATTAGTTAGAGAACTATTGGAAAACCTGGGAGTACTGGACAGCTGCTTCGTCCTAGTTTGGGACTCTTCATCGGTACACACCCACCAGGATTCGAACCCAGGGCCTTCTGGTTACAATTTTTATTTAATTTTAAGTTAATGTTGGTTACAGCTTAATGCCACACCGTATTTTCAGTACAAGTATGGAATTTTCAGCATGGATATCGGTAGCCCAAATTTTGCAGGCCGACCATAGATATCGGGTGTGCGTCGGCAGCGGCAGCGGTCGGCGAGAGTCCTAACCACTGTGCCACTGGTTTTCCAATGGTTCTCTAACTGATGTCAGCTCATGATGAAATCCTGTGACTAATCAACCAAATCCCTACAAACCAACACTTGAATATCAATGTGATGCTCATTAGCGTCTTGCCCTATTCAGGTAGGTAGTTACCTGGGGTTCTAGTGAGATGTCGTGACCAGTAGGATGCAGCCGGTCGGGTGTGAAGACAAATACTTGCCGAGGACATTGGCTAGTGGTCGCGCTATGTCGTGAATTGCCAGAAGTAAGAATTCATGAGCCATTGGATCGGGTCCCAGTGGCTTAGTGGTCTACGAGCTAGCTCGCCTTGTAATTCAAAGACCCTGGGTTTGAACGCTGGTGTTGGTGGGTGCGTACTGATGAAGAGTCCCAAACTAGGACGAAGCAGCTGTCCAGTACTCCCAGGTTTTCCAATGGTTCTCTAACTAATGTCAGCTCATGATGAAATCCTGAAATCGGATTCGTCGGCAAAAAAAGTGGCAAACTTTCTAAGATTTTTTTTTACCAAGAATAGTGAGGTGAATAATTGAGCAGTAATTTATCGGTGCCTCTAAGTTATTAATTAATTTCTTACTAATCAATTGAAACCTGTATAAGCTCACTTAACCGTCATGCTCACTAATTTCTCGAGAACATGCTCTGTCTAAAGTTCAGGTTTATACTTATTGGCTCCCTACTCCATCCATGTCTTTTAGGTCTGTAGGAAAAGATGCTATGAAGTAGTTTTTTTTAATTTAAATTTATCCTGACAGTGTATTCCTTTCATTCTACTACTTTTCAAAGTATTTAACCACAACATTTTCATTCCAACGTCTTGTTTTTATCATTTGTAGGTTGCTGAAGAGTCACTTGTTTCGGTAGATGTACAAAAGATGATTTGTTCTTCACACAAATTTCTAAATGAATTACTTATTGATATCGAAAAGAAAATAAACTAGAATGTACTTGCATTTCTTTTACTTTTGTACATGATCTTTATAACAATGAAAGTATTTTCAATAAAAGTGATGATCAATACCTAATTCTTTTATTGATTTATTTTGCTGTGTTTGAACATTGTTACTTTTTCAAAAAGCATTTGCTTCTTGTCCTCATATCTACATGACAGGCCTTATATGTCCTGCTAACTTCTCTAGTGTCCACAGTTTTCTCCTGACTGGTTATCATGTATGATATACATTAATAAGTAGTTGTTTTGTTCGTTGGAACTATTGTTTAAGTGATCACAGTTAAGCATATGTTCATAGAAGGAGTTATCCCCAACTGTAGGTTTGACAAGCATCAATAAAATATGCAGTTTCCCAACATATCGCATCTTTGATTTAATATGTGGACGACAGAATAATCGCGTAAAAGTATGGCGGTCAAAGGATGCTTCGAAAATAGGAGAATGCAAAGTTCATTTTAATATGCATACACAAGAAGATTGTTACTTTTACGAATATTTCAGATTGCGAGTAGTTTTACGTGTTGCATTAATATTTCTATTGGTCCCTGATAATCTTTGCTTCTTTAATATGTTAGTTTCTGTTCTGTATACAATGACTTCAATTACTATTTTGAAATATAATAGAGAAGATTTGTAGCTCAGATGGATGGTTTTGATTTAGTTGTGTTCTCTGAGCCGGTTGATTTAATTGCAAAGCTTTCATGGTTCTTCTAGACAATATCTTCAACGCAAGTTTTATTAAAACGTGTATCTGAATTCTTTATGTTGGAGGCCACCGAAAGCTTCGCAGCTAAACCGCCTAGCTCATAGAAGACAACTAAATCAAAACCGATTACTCATGTTCGTTTAATTACAATGTGCATTGAAATCCAGAGATAGGCTCTACAGTAATGTTTACTGAAGGTACGTTATTAGTGTTTGTCTGTCTCGAAAAACTGTATTTTCTACGTCATAATAACTGTATGAAACCCAACATGGGTTGGAATCACACAAGTGGTTATCGTCAAGTTTGTCCTCCATTTCGAAATCGCTATAAATTTCACTAGTGAATCATCAATAATTCTAAGTTTTGGATATGATTCGAGTTCTATGCACGCACGACTTTGACAATGTATTGACCAAAGTGGAAGAAATGTCCCAGTGTGTCAGAATGTAAAAACAAGGCACAACCCGTATCACCATCCTCGTAAGCAATATGCTTTAACCCAGATATTTATACAGAAGTTGTAATAAAGTCAACTATGGACTAACTGTAACTGCTCACTCAAAAATAAAGTGAAGAACACTAGACAATCAATAAAAGAATCTTCATTACCGTTGTAAGTTTGAATTGTGTTTAGTATGTGAAATAGTAGCCACGAATTCGCATTTTTTCCGCAAAACAGTTAAATCGTTTTCTTACCTTTTCGTTCCAAGATGAAAAGCTACATTATTTACTGGAAATCATTTTCTAGAGCTACTCAAATAGCATGATTAGATTGTATTCTCATAAGAAACCATTACAGTCATTATCTTTTCGTTGACTATAAAATTAGAAGTAGTAATAATGACTCACTTTGCACAGATGTGCAGCAGTTCCAGTTGCCACACTCCGTGTAGCTCACAAAGCAAGAAAAGAGAGATATTAAATAGAAATGTGAGGCAAAAAGAATAGTAATATGGAAGAAGAACACACCTTTATTGGAAATGACTAATCACAAAGTGAATGCATCTGCGCCACTGGAAACGATTTTGAGCCATATCATCGATTGTCTCCAGCCTCTGATTTTTACCATCCCGAGGACCCCAACCAAGCTGGTAATCTACACCTGCCTACGTGGTTTGTACTAACGTAGTGAGGTGTGGAAATAATGCTGTTCAGTAACTAAATCCAACTGTCTTCAGCACTATCTGGAGTACACTATGGTAGATAAATTTCTCCTGAAAACTAACGAATGTGACAGAAGCATTTAAGGACTACAAGCTTATCAGCTTTTTAAAAATAGATGTTTATTAGAAAGCCTGTGTAAAAGATTGATTTTCGATACCCAACTCAGTGTGGAGGACAAATATAATGTACGTCGGTAGATTCATAGCCACTCAGTATTGATTACCGTGATGATTCACTTCTGTGATCGATCAATACTAAAATGCATACGGCATTGATTTTATTTAAAATCCTAATTCATTATAATTTATGAGGACCTTTACCCAAAGCTATAGGAATGAAGTGTCCAGTTTAACAGACTTTCTGTTTGAAGTGCATTATTTCATTGTCTTGAAATAAATACAAATTAGACATTGTTAAAAAGCATACAATGTTCTTGTCAATACGTCTTCAGTAATTCAGTCTTCACTTGTCTATCTGCAACTTTTTATGATAAGCATGCGTTACTGGTTAGTAAGTCGCATAATCTGTTATCTTTTCAACTGAATTCGAAAAAAATATGATTGGATTTAATACCTGTAATAAATATATCAGCTAACTTGTTTCTCAGATGATGTTTGTTTTCATGCTCTTAGTTTCAGAGTGCTTTCCACGAATCAAATTTGAAAACACATGCAGTCAGCTATTTTTTTGTGTCGTTCATTTCCTAATCCACGTAATTATTACCAGTCTGTGAATATATTCCGTGTTCTGCTGGGTTGCCGTAAATGTTGCTTGCAAACTAAGGCATTTCAGCCACAATTCGATTTGAACTTGTTGAACGATGAAAAGTTTGTTCATAATTTGCGTGCCAGTTTAGCGGCTCGTAAAAATAATTTAGATGTTGATTATATGGTAAGTTTTCCTATCAGATATTCTTTCGTGATAGTAAATGTTTTCTCTGTAGGAACAATTATTTGATTTAATCCACAGCGTAACCATTGCTATGGTAAAACCACATATTGTGATGTATCTTTAATCTGTATGCCCCTCAGTAGATATACTGAACGCTCAAACAACAAGTTGCAATCGGCACTGAAAAGATGAAGTTTTAATTTGTCGTCATTCGTTAGCGAATTGTGTGCTGATCAGTCCCGTGAATGAGCAACGGAAAACAGTAAATAAAAAATTGCTGATAACTGTGAATTAACATAAAGCATAGGTGAAGGGCTTACTATTTGACTCGTAACATCCAGCAACAAACTAGATTTTTTTACCAGTGTCCTATAGCTTAGTTTGTAATTAACTAGTTGCAAACTTCACCCTAGTCGCTATTTAGAATATGTAAACAATGTCTGGCGAACATGGCCGGCATTCAACACTGAGTGCAAGTGTTCCTCATAGAATATTTTCATCTGAGATGCAAGATTAAATTTCATAAAATCTTTGGCTTTAGGTTCCCCACTTAGTATGTCACTGGTTACCTAAACATATTTATAAACTTAAAGTTTAATCAAGAGTATTGATGCTTCCTTGTAGTGTCTATTTTTCTTATATTGCAATAGTTGGTATATAATTAAGTGTGCAGTAGTGTTATATAAGCTAAAAGTTATGAATTTAAGAGATCAATTTCCAATAACTGCATAAAATCCCTAAGATATCGCTACATATTTCTCTCAATCATGTAGTATAATCAGTCTTCGAAGAAAAAAGCGTATTTTATGGCTTAGTGCATAATCCAACACTTCACATTATCACGATAATTATCTAAAAATCTAGTAAGTAAAGAGTAAACGCTGGTGAGAAACAACATATGTAGTGTCGAGGTTATACACATGTGTTTGTTACCTATGTAAAGAAAACACGAACCTAGTTGAAAGATTCCTTCCCAATTAATGTATACCATAGAGGTTAATTGGTAGATGGTGACTAGCAGTGGAATCCAGGACGCACATTTCGTCCTATTTGGGACTCGTCATCTGGAATGCAGGTACATCCAGATGACGAGCCCGAAATAGGACGAAATGCGCATCCTGGATTCCACTGCTAGTCACCATCTACTAATTAACTTCTAATTACATGTCCAGACATCGTCGAAGCAGTGGCACAAGAAGGCGACACGTCAACCTGAGACCGAGTACTTCGGTCCAATCAATCGACGGGAAAATCTAAAATTGAATTAAATATTTATACATTTTTAGATAATAATCAACTTTATATATATTCGACGTCTTATTTCTTTTTGATATTCGCTTCTTCTATTCCAGTTAAATGTTTACAAATATTATGAAAAAGAGAAAAGTCAAAAATTGTTAGATGAATTAATGTCATTAGTTTCTCAGTTGCCGAATTTTACTCATCCACTTACGGTAAGTGTTGTTGGCTGTACTTTGTATATTGTTAGTCTTTCTTTTGTCCATGATTAAATTAAAAGTTATACTATAATCTCAGACTACTTTTTACCTTCCATAGTGCTTTTTGTTTTTGTTTTTTCCTAACTGTAGCCCGTCGGCGATGCAACGAAAGCGCGAAGTATATACATTCATGGATCTAAGCGTCAAGGTAGGTTGATTTGTGTGTAGACTGACTTCACTAGTTATTTACTGGTCAGCATTATTGATGACCTCTGTGATATTTTTGTATTTAGTGGTGGAAAGATAATTAAAGTCCTAATAAAATCCTAGTGCAGTCCTGGAAACAACTTGAACGAGTGACATTAGTATCTCCAGTAAAGTGGTTTTCAAAAACTTCATGCAATTTTTCCCATTAATAAACTTGAACAAATCAAGAATAACAATTGTACCAGGATAATATGCGCTCATCTTTTATTATTTCGAGGACTCTTCTCAACTGGTTACAACCTGAACGATAAAAAATATGAATTACATTCAAGATTTGAACATACTTTTCCACGATCACAAGGAGTAATTGTTAGGAAGTAAAAGTAACATTAGTCCGGAATGATTTAACTAATTAAGAGTTACAAACACTGACTATTTATAGAATAATTAGACAATTAGGCTTGGAAACAAAAACAGAGTTGCGTATAGATGTGTGTGTGTATATAGAAACAGGGTTTAGCTAGAAATAGCATAACAAAAATAGCAGATTACGTAACTAAAGAAAATGTTTTATCTAATAGCCAATAGAAAAAAGAAGAGAAAAGAACAAGGTAGGGTGAGTCATGTTTAGATGAGAAAGTAGAGTTTTCTAAACAAGAAAAATAGTGACTCATAAAAGTTGTATATTTTGTTATCACCAGGGCAGTGCAAGATTCACCACTGTCTCTTTCTGCGTACATAGATTTGGTTCAAGTCGTTTGATAGCAATTGCTTCAGCAAAGCGTGGCAAGCTAGATGGTTTTCTGTTGATTGATATATGAGACCTCGCTAGGTCTGAGTTTCACCCACATTTATGTACAGCTTTCGTGTGGTTGATATGGGAATGAAACGTTCAGCAAGTGTGGTTTAATAGTTTTTTCTCAGCTATGTATATATACTGGCAGTCTAGCAGTTGTTGTTTCGAGTCCTACCGTAGATTTATTATCCCTTCATGTTAGTGGGGATTTATTTGTGTAAGAATTTCTCAGATAGTGTCAACAGCCGTTATACATTCCATGAAGAGAATTTTCTATGTATTTCTTTTACTAGAAAACTGGAACTTATTAGATGTAACCAATATTGCATTAACAACAGGCCAGTCTTCCAGCAATGAAAATAATGTAAATTCCGAGGCTTTGTCTGTCAATCCTGGAGGCCACCTTCGTGTTAAGCATACAAGTTGGGGTGCTGGACAAAGAACTTATTATTTTGGTGGACAATTAGCCCTTTTAGAATCAGCGCTGGTTGCATATACTCTTGACCGTTTAAAAGCAGAAGGATTTGGATTTACTTCTGTGCCTGATATTTTGCCTGAACCTGTTATCACAGCCTGTGGTTTTCCAACAAAAGGAATCCGTTCTCAAGTAAAGAGTTTATTTGTATTATTTTATATGTGGTTAGTTTAATAAATATTGTTATGGCTATTGTGAAGACTTAAGATCCGTACTATGTTGACTAGTTTCATAACTTTTATGATATCACAACATATTTATCACTATGGAAACAATTTGTTTGGAGGTTTTATTGAATCATTAGGAATTGATGTACTGATGTGCACTTTTTATTTCTTCGAACATTATTAGGTAGATTATTGAAAAGACCTTTGTACAGTGATTTCATTCTGATGGAGAATCTTTGTAACACTACGCACAATTATTTTTACATGCTGAGTTACACTAATTTTTCCTTAGCACCTTTTTCTCATGTTCTGTTTCGGTTATATTAGTCGCTGTATCAATGACGAAGTACATTTTTACTGGTAATGTTTGCCTTCTGGTAGGCCAGTGTGTTAAAAACTTAATATATTCGTTGGTGTATATTCCCTACAAACTTAAACGAATTCTGTACCTTATAAAGTTGTAACTTGTTCACAGTTACAGCTTCAATCTCCTCAAGATCATGAATTTACTTGCTAAGTTAGTTGGTCTCAGACTAGGATGGAATGACTCTCCACCATCTCTTGGTTCCCGCATAAATTTTGGTTAGGAACGAAATTGAAACCCAAATTAATAATGTAAGAAGATTACACAAATATTTAGCGCTGAATTGAGCGATATTACTCTCATCTATTTTACTTAGGCACATAGTGAGTTGAAACAATGGAAAGTCAAATCACGAATCAGTTTTTTTTCTTTTACTTTGCAATAAATGTATTATTAATTGACCGAATATGTCTGATAACACTCATTCCGACGATGTCATATAAGGGTTTTTCAAAAACTAGCTTTTGTACTGACAACTTTATACCCTTTCATTTTTTCTGTCTGATAGGCATCTGTTATCTCAATGGGTTCACCACACTTTCATGTTTGAATGATTTGACAAACAATTTGAGCTAAGATAGTTTCTCCTGGAAGTCCTTACCATCATAGTTTAAGTAGCTGACACTTTCGCAGCGAATTTCAAAGGGAATTCTTACTGCTTTTGAAGGACGTGTATTCGCTGTTCTACCTTCCGTCTATGCAGATAGTGAGATAGAAAATATGTTTTCAGCTTTATCTAGCAGTGGGATAATTTTTCTTATCAATAGAATACAGCTCTCCTTACGTCTAAACAAACAACATGCAACTAACATCAGGTAGACATTGTGGAGCTCTATATCAGAGCGGGAGTAACTCACTCTCAAGTGCAAGAGAAATAAATTGACTGTCACAATGTGATGGCTGCTGAGCAGCGACTGTACAACTTTTGAGGATGAAATCACCGAGAGGATATTTCTGCTGAGCTCCTTGTTTTTTTTGCTTTAATTCTCTGGTGGACATATTCAGCTGTTGTCACTAAGAGATTTACTCAACCTACCTTGCGTATGACCCATGTCAGTGAATTTGGTCCATGAAATCAGCATATCAGGTTCCTAAGAGTTACTCTGCAAGCTTTATGTTTGCTTCTTTCAACACGCCGAATTTCCTGGGACTCCGATATATCGCAGCATACATGTGCACTCTCTTTGAGAGATGAGTAAATTTGCTTCACTGTAAGACTAAGTCCCAGTTGATAGTCACATGGGCGTTTTGTTCAATGGTGGTGTTAATGTTAGGAAGAATTGTGATGAAGACTACTACTACTACTCGAAAACGTCAGTGTTTCTAATCAAACGATGATCTCACTAGATGCTGTTTCATTGTTTACAAATGTTCCACTAACTGAAACAATTTGTCACATATGCGAGCTCATCCACTCAGAAGGAGTAAACATCGGCATACCCACCGACTATCTAAAAGAACTTCTGCTGAGATGCACCCTAAACGTCCAGTTCCCCTTTAACAATGAAATATATCGTCAAAAGGATGGTATAGCTATGGGCTCACCATTAGGCCCTCTGCTTGCGGATTTCTTTATATCGAAACTCGAAAACACCTGCCAAAAGAATATGATTGACAACTTTGAACTCTACAAGAGATACGTCGGCGACACCTTCATCATCTGCAACAACGAAGAGAATTTAGAAGATATCCTGAAGTTCTTCAACAACTGCCACCCTGCGATTCAGTTCACACTAGAGAAAGAGTCTAACTCAAAGATATCTTTTCTTGACGTTCAACTGACGAGACGCCAACAAGACGGAACATTAAAAAGATCCATCTACAGAAAACCAACGTGGGACGAACAGCTCACTAACTTCCACAGTTGGGTGCTTCTATATACTAAACGAAACTTAATCCGCTCACTAAGCCACAGAATACGTAGAATTTGCAGCCTGGACGCCATAGAAGATGAAATGAGCACTCTCAAGAAAATCCTCCTTGAAAATGGCTATCCAGAAAGATTTATCACAAAACCAATGAAACCCAGACCAGAGAAGCCGCCCACACCCAGTGCTCCAAAAAGACTTCTCTATATGAACCTGCAGTTCAATGGAGACCAATCTACAGAAATACTGAGAAATCGGCTCTCCCGCTCATTGAAGAAAACCTTCTTTGCAGCTGAATTACGACTGACGTTCTCCACGAGACCAATGATTTTTATGAACGTGAAGGATAAGCTACCGCTGTTGGCCTCATCTATGTGCATCTACCAATTCACCTGCTCGTGTAGAGCCAGGTATATCGGCTGTACTCAGCGTTTGCTATCCAAACGCGTCAACGAACATTTACCTTCATGGTTTTATAAAGGAGAAAGCCGATGCCCCCGCAGCTCGATCCTTGAACATTTGATCGACTCTGGAACCAAGTCAAATCAGAAATAAACTTCAAAGATATCTACAGAATACAATGCAATCTTGCTAAAAGTGTACGGATCAAACTTCTCCACATCGCAGAAGCAAGGGCAATTCATCTGCTAAATCCTGAACTCTGCATACAAAAGAAATTCGTTCATTCATTAAAACTACAATGGACGTAATCTTTCTTAATCTCAGTCTTACTAATTGTATTATTTTGTCTTTTGCATTTTATTATTTCACATCTTCATTTATATTATTCTCTACCTCACCCTTTTGTAATCCCCACCCTCATTAACAATGTTGCTAACTTGACCCACGTCCAATTTCTAGTCAATTATGTTACGTCATCCGATTAACTTAGTTATTTTCGACTGTATTATTCTCTACCCCTACCCTTGTTTAATTTTAACCACCACTCATTAACATTGTTGCCAACCTGACCTATTCTGAATTCTACTCAACTGTATTATGTCATCCAATCCACTTAATCAAGTCTATTTTATTTTCTATCTTAACTTTTGTCTCCAAGCCCAATAATACTTATATCACATAATTATCTAAACTGTATAAATCTAATGTACACACACACAAGCAAAATAGTACATATATATATGCGATTGTACAGCTCAGTGAATGAATTCGTCGAAAAGAGTCTCTTCGCTGAACGCCTTCTACTCTATTTTTGTTGTTTTTTGCTGACTCATCCACTGTCTGTAACTCATAAAGGAGAGATCTACCGAAAAATGGCAGCTTTACTGCAGAAATTAACATTAGGGTGCGACCAAGGTGGATGGAGATTTTAATATGCAGATAAGATTGCCAAACGCTTCGAAAAAAGAATTTCTTTCAAAGTGCCACACAACAAGGAAATATTAGTAATCGTATGCTAGAAAGGCATCCGAATAAGGACACTGTCTGATTAAGCGATCACCAAATGGTCACTCATGCAGACCATATTACTTTAGGCTTCCATTGCATAGGTTCAAATTAGGATTACAGCTGCTTCTGAAGTGAGTAATTAGATGGTAAAGAGGATCTGTAGTCTGCATTCGACTGATCGCAAAATAGCCTGGAATCATATTGAGTGAAATATGATCTCATTTGACTGTTTTAGTTCTATTAAAGTAACCATTGGTCACCACAGTTTATTAAATCCCGGAGTCTCTACAAGGTCTAACTGGAGCTTTGATGAAAACAAACTGGGGGAAATCAGGCTTATCACAAACCTAGTCATGAATTTGCGGACCAGACACTTATTTTTCATCACATACTGATTCACTGGTTCTAGCTGTAATTTTTGTGGACATGGCTTAGGTCTCCGTTGGTATTTTTATTTTTTTTTATTAGTGAGGTCTTGCGGCATTGTCAATAGATGTTTCGGTTAGTTCACATAAACCTACTGGGATAGGAATAGCATCGAGCGCTAAGGCAGAAAACTTGCTACTTCGTTGAATTTTATTGTGTGTTGTCTGACTGAATGGATCCGTAAAAAGTAAGAAAGATTGTAGCACTTTGCGAGGCCTCTTCATAATCTATATTTATTTACCAACCATTGCGTTCGAAAAAAAAGTAAAGGATGACTTCTACTAAATGTTGTTTAGTTTGCTTCAAAAACGAAAGGCCCAGATATAGTCATTTTATCAGGCGATCTCAATGCTGAAGTAAGGATGCTCTGTGCTAGTCCCTTATTTTTGGAGTTCGTCAGTGTCGTGGCTCAGAATAATTCTCACTAGTATTGAACTGAAAAAGATGAAAGACTTTATGAAGGAGTGTTCGTTGGCAATTTGGTATCTCTATACAGCCAAATTATGTATACCTTATCTTCAACGCACCATTTGTTCAAATCTTCCGTGTTGTGCTACTTCTGAACTTCATATTGTGTTTTTTGTGCATTCCTTTTACTTCCTCCATGTATTGCCACAACACTGTATCATTTGCTTTCTCTGACATCAAATCTATCTCCCCGCTGTTTGATGTTTTTATGCCCATGAATGTCTCTTTATATACTCTTTATATACTACCGATAAATCTTATCAGTAGCACGCACACGCCACGGGATAGATGCATTCACTCCTTGTGATCTTCCAGATTCATTGTAACCTCATTACTCTTTTAGCAGCATATCTCCATTTATTATAGGTTCTTTGCTGTTTTTCTACCTTTCTCTGTGCTTTTATGAACTTCAGCGACTTGGATTTCTGTATTTATGTGCAAAGTGTTACGTTGGAAATTCAGCTTGGCTAATATTCAGCATATCAATGTTTCCAGTTTACTGACATACAGTTAATAATTTTTGTTGTAGGTGTACAAAATAACTCCCCCACTGTCTAATTTAACCTATTGTCTCTCTGGAACATCTGAAATGTCATTGGCTGGATTTTGTGCTGGTCGATCCTTCAACTGTCCTTCATCTAAAAATAATGAATCAGATAAGTCAAGTCAGATGTCTGCTCTTGGCTTATGTGCTGTCAGTCGATGTTTTCGTAAAGAAGCACCTCAACAAGAACCGACACTATATAGAGTACATCAGTTTACTAAAGTAAGTACATGAATGAACATTTTTGTCGTTTTAATATCAGTTGTTTATATACAAAAACTTTTAAAGTATAAAAATTATAGTAAATTGCTGATTAAAAACTGATTTGTTTCTACTTATTGTATTTCTTATACTTTGATTACAACTTGAAAACCACTAGATAACATATTGAATCCTCACAGTTAACAGTCATCAGTAGTAGAAAAACAAAGATTGTTCGATTCCTAGAGCATGTGATCACGTTGTGTAAGTTTTTAACAGTTAAACTCGATACCATTTTCACTTAATTACCGTAAGTTGACTCTATACATATTTGATGGTTGAAGAAATACGCTCTCACTAATTGTCTAAATGATTAACTTATATGAATCAAGAGAAGAGCAAAGATCTGATGTCATAACTCAACTTGTTACTCTTATTATGTGTTACAAATATTTACTAAGAGATGAAACAGAACTACATTATATAATGGCTGTCTAGAAAGTGAACAGCGAAAGGTATCATCTATGTGTCGACAATAATAGTCAAGCCACTTAATTGTGTCTTTGAGTGGATCATTTTCAAGCTTTGCCAGGAAAATATCCGCTAGCATAGGGCCAAGAATCGATGTGCTTGATGCACCTTACAGGAAAGATGGTGAAGGTCCTGGTCTCAGTGTTCTAGTGGATAACGCATTCACATTTAGAACGATGAGTAATGTTTTGTTTGTTTTTCTTCACGTTCCCCAGTGGAACATAGGGCTTCAAGCTAGTGACTTCAAGTTTCTGTAGCAGTGCTTATTTTACAGGATGGGGTTGCTAGCCTCATGCCCAACCTTTCCTCTTCACCAGCATTATTTCTGGCTTAGCGAGGTAAAGGAGTGCGTCGGCCAGGGATCGAACCCTGGACCATGTGCATGGTAGGCGAGCGTCCTAACCACTATGCCACCAACGCACTATAGTTTCATACCCTAAGTGTTATCCATTAGACCACTTGGGGCACGTGCGTCGGTGGTATAGCGGTTAGGACGCTCGCCGACCACGCACATGGTCCGGGGTTCGATCCTCGGCCGACGCACTCCTTTACCTCGCTAAGCCAGAAATAATGCTGGTGAAGAGGAAAGGTTGGGCATGAGGCTAGCAACCCCATCCTGTAAAATAAGCACTGCTACAGAAACTTGAAGTCACTAGCTTGAAGCCCTATGTTCCACTGGGGAACGTGAAGGAAAAAAAAATAGGGCCAAGATGTGAGCCCATCGCAACACCATCATCTTGTCTATAAAAAGCATTTTTGAACATAAACTGGACATTAATCATGCATTGCAATAGTAATTCCTTGACTTTTTCCGGTGGGATTCCTACATCTATCTTTCGTTCTGTCAGTTGGTCACAGTAGTTGACCGTTTCGAGCAACGGGACGCTGGTGAATAATGATACTGCATCCAGTGATATCATTTTCTTTCCTTTTACGTTCAGGTTTTAGGCAGTTTCTACAAAGCTAAATACGTGTCATTAACACTGAATTTCACTAGTTCATGATATAAAGGTTTAATGCCTTTACCAACCACTTCGATGTAGAATGTTAGGGAGGTGCTCAACTAAACCAGTACTCACACAACGAGCCAAGGATGGCCTCATCAATGTGTATCTATGAATTCAACTGCTCATGTGGAGCTAGCTGCATTGGCCGTACTCAGAGAGCTTTATCCATGCGCGCACTTGAACATTAATCTGTATAGTTGACTAAAGGCATAAGTAGTGCAGTCTTATCACACTTGATAGATACTGGGCACTCAATAAAGCCAGAGCAGGCGTTCTCGGTTATCTACCACGTTCGTGGTAATCTATTTAGAGGAGCCCGACTACGTCTTCTATCAGTAGCTGAAGTGGTAACAATCAATATTAGAAGACCGGGTCTTTGCGTACAGAAGATGTCCAGTTACTATGTTTTACCTTGGCCTACGATAAGGTCAACAAATCCTCCATAAACACTTTAAATTCCTATCGCAATTTTTTTCCTTTTCTTCTTATTTCCCTTTGTTTCATTAACAAACGTTCATTTCTGACTTTTTACAACATGTTTTTTCTTATGATTTCCATTACCTTAGGTGTAAGTAACACTTTTCCCATTTGTTATCGTATTTACAAAATTCCGTTCATTTCACTTCATTAAATTCATTATTATTCAATATTGGTTCACTAATAGTACTTTTAAGTTTACACCACATCACCGTTCTTACTTCATAATCATTATTATTGTTATTGGTCACCCTTAAACTTATGTCTAGTCTATCCCATTCGTTGGTTTATTTTTTGTAGCATTCATATTGTCTCACACACCATTTCTTAAACTCACCCTTGAAACCTGTACCTAGGTGACCATTGCTCCATCCCATTTTATACTTGTTCCACGATACATTTCTAATATCATTCTAATTTACCTTTACTGACTATTGTATGCTTAAATTAATGGATTTATAATTATAGAACCTGAAGACGAATTTTTTGAGAGTAACTGTTCGCTCTTACTGTTTTTATTGTGAGTAAAAATTAGGAGCTTTGACCGGTTAATGGATTGGGTAATATTTAATCCTGCGAATATTTCTAAAATCAGAACAATGGATTATGAGTGACAGTCTGTACCGTGGAAACCGGCACGATGTAAAACTGCGTCCCCAACTGCTTAGGCTGAATGTTGAAACGTTTTCAGAAAGTGAATAAAAGAATGGCATATTCTAGCTAATGCTATGTTCTGATCATTGGAACGTAGCTCTAGAAGTTAATAAGCTATCCAGTTCATGTTGGTTTGAGGTATATTGATCTTTGGATCGAGCAATCTTGTCTTCTAGTAAGTAGTACATCCAGGAAGAGAAACGGTATGTTGAATTCACGTTCTAGGTTGATATTTATTGATGAGTGTGCTGCGTTGAAAGTTGTGAGGAGATCGTCTAGATCAAATTTTTCATCACAAATTATAAAAGGTATCGTCTACGTATCTCTTGTAGAGGTAAAACTGACTAATCAAAAGGTCAAGCATGTCTTTTTCAAGTTAAGAGTGGACCTAAAGGAGACCCTACAATCACTCTATCCTTCTATAAGTAGAATGGAATGCGAATACTTAACGTACATCTGACAGATAGTTTCTTCAGGTAGTTAATGAAAAGAGAGAAACTTCTAGATTGTTGGTTTTGAAATAATTTTCAACTGTGTACATTCCAAAAGAGAATAAAACTGGCCTGCTGTATTTATTGTAGCAAATTATTTGTGATGAAATATTTATTACTCATTTTCTGGTTGCTTAGAAAAAAAATAATAAATACTCTTTTTTATTCATTAATTTACAGGTGGAAATGTTTTGCGTTACTGCACCTGTATTATCAATCAGTGATGCAATGTTTGATCGAATTATTAAATTACAAATATGTCTGTTTGCTGATTTGGGTTTACATTTTAGGTAGGTTAATTATAAACATTAGATTCTAAACAAATACAGTTAGCCATATACTACTCTAAAACTTCTGACTAATTTATGATGTATACTTACAATTTCGAAATGTGAATACTTCAGCCTAGAATTAACTGGCTCGGTGAAACAGCAACTAAATGAATAAGAATTTTTTGTTACAGAATATGTCACCCGCTCACATCATTTAGAGAATCTTTAGAAACCGGGGAATACTGAACACCTTGATATGACTATGAGCAATAAATTGTGCTCGAAACGTCATCAGTAAACATTACTGTATAACACTGTGAGACTTAATCAAAACAAATTATACCCATAATGGAATTATATATACTCTACCACAGTGCACAAGTTTTATTCTTATATCAGTGAGTACTGAACAACTGTTTCGTCCTAATTCAGGAGTGTGCACCTGTGATCACATCGGAGGTCGAACCTAGGACCTTCCGGTTTCTAGATAATCCCACTGACCATTCAGCTACTGAAATGGAATTCAATGACTTAGGGATTCTAAATGCTACTAATTCGCGATATTTAGCATTGAATGATATCGTTTTCACTGAAATATCATTTAACAGATTATTTAAGATAAAAATTTAAAATGTCATTTAATAACGAGGTGTTTTCCTAAAAACGTCTAATTGCATGGTTGATTTTGAAATCTCAAACTTCTGTAAATCAAAACATCCACATTAATACCAAATAATATAAGTCATCCAATAACACTACTATATTTATGTTGAACGTTTTATGTTCATCTTAATAAAAAAAGTTCTTTTTACAAACATAGAGTTCTTGAAATGCCATCCGAAGAACTTGGTGATTCAGCATGCAGGAAAGTTGATATTGAAGCTTGGATGCCTGGCGATCAAATGTACGGTGAGGTGAGTTATTAGTTACATCAGACTAATTGTATACTGTTATAGTTTAAGTGTATTTCCAAGTGAACTGTAAGACGTTTTTGGCCTTGTGTTGTGAGAAGAATGGTTTATTAGTCAAGCTTGCAGTCTCCTTCAAGACATAAAGCGAGCTTGTGGAGTTCTCCAAAATGAAATAACCGTCTTCCTTAATGAAATACTTAGGGGTAATCTGTCTTAAACATGGGATCAATCCGTGGAGCCCCAGGTAGGAAGGTGTAGACTACGTGCACGAGGGTCGTCAAGACGCTAGGAACGAATCACTGCAGTCTGTTAGTATCATAACTCAGTAGCGCAATCGTGTCCACTCCTTTTAAAGCTTCCAGATTCATTATTTTCCCATTATGTCTTCCACGTATTTCCGTTTAATATGGGCACTTTGCTGCTTTGCCAACTTGTGCTTTGTTGAAGTGTGGTAACCTGAAGTGCTACACTTTGGTGCGAAGTTCTACGCTAAAAATTCATTTCAGCATTGGTTTGGATTATTCTGTCCCTTTGACTTGTTCCTAATTGATAAGTTTCATCTTTAAATCAGTTTTTTTACAGATTCTGTGGTATTCTTCGTGTTTCCACTGTTTGAAATATTTACTTGTTCCCAGTCCGATATGGCTCAAAATCATTCTCAATGGCGCAGATGCATCCACTCCTTGTGACTTATGATTTCCAATGAAACTATATTGTTCTTCGTTATTACTATTCCTTTGTCTCTCACCTCTGTTTACTGTCTATATTATGCATTTCTTCTACTTTCTTCTCTTGCTTTGTGTGCTACATGGAGGGAGTGTGGCGACTTGAACTACCGCACATCGGTCCAAAGTCCTATGTCGAATACAGACAGGCAGTCTGATCGATGTTGATAATTGACCACTTGTGACGATATGAAGGAATATATGTCATGTTTTTGAATCTTAGCTTTTGTTCATGGATGCGAAAATAAAGGCGAAGTCCGCTTTCGTCATTATAGCATTGCTTTAGTAATTGAAACAGGTGTTTAGAACTTATTTGTCGAAGTCAAGTCCTCTTTCAGCTTAAGTTATGCAACAATTTCGCATAAGCAACAGCGTACTGATCAAAAGATTATGTTAGATAGTCTCTATCGGTTGACCAAAAATCTTTTATCTATTCGATTTTTCCATTGGGAAGGGAAAACATGAAAATGTATTCGTCATTTTGATAAAATACGAATAGATATATCTACTTCATTCACTATAAAAGACCACAGTATTTTCAGCTATTAATATAAGTGTATGAAGTGGTAAGTAGGTTCATTTAGCTGTTAATTTCGACGCATTAGCTACCCCAGTTTTCTTTCAAACTTCAATTACTAATTTTATAAGATGTGGACTTGAATGTAACACACTAGACGGCGAATCATTTAATGCTGGTCAACGTCTTTAGCTTATTTAGGGAAAAAAGTCAGAACCCTTGTATTTGATGAATCTCTTTTTGTTTGTTTTTTTTTCTTTATATAAACCCACTAGATTTCGTTAACTTTATATTATATTTAGATTTCTAGTGCATCAAACTGCTTAGATTACCAGTCGAAACGTTTAAATATTCGATGGCAAACATGTGAAAATCAAAATGAATTCGCCTATACCGTGAGTGCCTTCAATTTCCAAATATATTTTAGTTTATGTGGTTGCAGTGGATTATTAGTTGACTCTTATACTGGCAAGGAACTGCTATTATATTATTATTAGCTATTAGATAAATTCGTGATCATCATGGTGAAAGTCACCATTATGTGAATATTAGTGTAATATTGTCATGTGTAACTATTGCTTTTTAAAATGTAATGTACTTAAAAGCAGCCATCATAAATGCTAGTGAACCACGATAACTTTAGATTATTTCAGTTTCAAGTCGTTTTGATGCTTCCTATGTTCCTAAACCTTCAGAACAATCTGAAAGCAAAAGCTGCTATCACACATTTTACCTGAAGAGAATTAAGTCTCTGTATTTTTATATTTTAACGATTGTATATAGGCCATAATGAAGATGGCAAGGTAACTTATTTGTAAAAAATTTTTGATTCGTATCTTAGTTAACTCTGTGACTTCTTTTCAGTTAAATGGGACCGCCTGTGCAATTCCACGTATCATGAAAGCTCTAATAGAGACCCATCAAACCAAGGTAAGTAACAGTGTCAGTCATTAATGAGTAGTACTTGTCAACATGATGACATAGTGTATTACTTTATCAATATTATGTGCAGAATGAATAAGCTAAATGCTAGTGTGGCGTGTGCTTTTGACGAGATTTATCAGTAGTATATGAAGAAACGTTCATTGGCACAAAAATATCAAGTAACGAAGAAGCAGATTTGACCTCAAAAAGAGGAACGAACCAGTATTGCGGCAAAGCATGAGAGGCATAAAGAGAAGAAGTAGTACAACACCGAAGATCTGTGCAAATGACGATTTTCATATAAGGTGGACATAATTTCCCTATATAGAGATATCAAACTCCAAATAAACATTCCTTTACCAAGTCTCTTGTCTTTTACCGTTATATTTAGTGTCATTGTCTCCAGACAGTGAAGACCACATGACCTGCTGCTTTCGAAGACATCAGGAGCTTTTTGTGAGACTTCGTCGCTGAATTGGTGGGCGTCAGGGATCCATTGACGTAGGCTGTTGTGCTGGGGACGCTGCTGAGAGGCCGAACAAAGGCGGTGTACGACACTGTGGAGCGATCAGACGGGAAAGAGATTTGAGAAATGTTGACTAGACGACTGGCGTTGAAGTTCATCAGCCCGACAGCTGGCATGTCGCGAAGCTTGGATTGGACGGAGACCCGTTAGTGTTGCGGGTAAAGCTGATGAATCTTCTACGTTGCGCACTCCCCACATCAGTTGAAGGGTCAGAGTCACAATTATTGACGTCCCAGACCACGTTTCTCAGCAACTACAACTGGTTAACGCTGCACAACCCATAGATATCGGTGATCAGACAGCTGTTGAAAGCAACGGTGGCAGCATTAAAGCCACCTCTTTTCTTCTACCGTTACACTAGTAGTTTCACGTAACCATCTGTTAGATACTAATAACTTTGAATAGTGATGCTTCTTATTTTTCTAATGTCTTTAAGAAAATTCTAATTTAAAAAGTTATTCTTGTTACTACTGCTGCCGTACCCAACAAGTACGCACGAGAAAGTGGAGATGGATCGGGCTCACGCTGAGGAGACTGTCGAACAACATCGCGCGCCAGACCATCACTCGAGTGGAACCCTAATGGGAAACTACGAGTTGGGCGTCCGAGCGTGATATGGAGGAAATCGTGCGAGGAAGAGGAGATGAGAAACTATGGGCAATAGTGTGGCCAGCTTAAGAGGACAGCAGAGAATAAGAAAAAGTGGAGATGTATGTGTTGTTGAAGTCCTATGTTCCACTTGGTATCGAAACGAAAAAACTTCAACTAACCGGATGCAGAATTCGGTCAGTAAAAATATTACTACTGGTGAAAAAAACTAGGCGTTGCAAAGTGAAATCTGTGTATTGCTCTGTTTCTATGTACTACTTTTGTTGACTATCAATCGTAATGTGTGGAATCACAATTATATGTAATCTACTAAACACTCACTTAAACTTTTAGACTGTTTAAGATCAACAATTGTAGCAGTTTGTCATGTTTTTCATTTTATTGTTACGTCTTTACTGTTATGCACAGGATTTGAAATGTTCTGTTCTTATTGCTTTTTTTTAAAACTATATTTTAGGATAGACAGGTTGTTATTCCTGATGTTTTGAAACCTTACATGAAAATGAAAAGTCAGTACCCTACACTTCAATTCAAACGTCTAACTAGCGAATAATTAAAGTAACAAACCAATCAAAGCTTTTATATGTGAATGTATTTTTCCTGTACAAAGTAAATAATTTTATAACAATGAAGAACATCTGTACATAACTACTTTACAATAGCGTAATATTCACTGTGTCAGTATTCCCGTTGAATTCTCCGCAAATACGTGTTAGGCTCTGCTTCCTTCTGATGACTGACTTGTGTACTCATATCTTGATGAATATTTACATATCATTTTGCTGACAGTCTTCAGCATCAGTGTCTTCACTTTGAATGGGTGCCAATCGACTTTTGCCCTTTGTTCTGGAACCTTTGAACTCAGGCATTTTTTCTCCAAACGCTTCAAGCTCTTCATGCAGTGACATCATATTTTGTGCTAGATCATTCGACCAAACGGAAATCGGCAGTTTTTCGATTTCATCCCATTCATCATACTTTTTAAAGAAAGACATTATCAAGTGACTCGATAATACGATATTATATGTACATAAGTGATGGTAAAGCTTTCATAATCAAAGAATTGTAAAATTATTTATCAACTTTTTGATTTCAAATGGTACGTAATACAAATTAACTGTCTAATAAATGCAAGCTTCCGATGACAGATACTAACTTACTTAAATAGATGCAGTGCACTTATGCTAAGATCACCAAAATTAAAATTTGATTTTGCGATTGAGAATTGTTACTTATACTATTTTGGTTTTCCGGTAACTGGCTTACTATGCTGAGTTGAAGAATGATAGCTAGTATACACTAATGTGAAGAAAATAACAGAATATATATAGAATAGGGGTCTACGCAACAGTCAACCTTTTTGTATTATCTACGATACACCATTACTGCTTACATGAGTAAAAGCAGAATCACAGGAAAAATAACAACATAGCCGAAAACAGTGTATGAAAACTTACATACATATCTCCGAGAGATGAATACCACTGAACTGTCCTTTTTCGAACAGTTGCCCTTTCAGCTGTTTCTTCATTAGCTAGTGAAGTACGCCATTCTGAAAGCGACTTCTTCATCTGTTTACTGGCATGGGTTTTCGTCACTTCATCAATACCCATCCACTTCGATTGGCAGCTGCTCTCATCCTCAAGACAAGAAAGGTATTTCTCTCCAGCAGCAATAGCCTCTTCATAATTGCCTAAGACGGCGTGAGTCTGAAAACAAAGATGCGGTAAGGGTTTTGATTTGCTGTTGATAGGCTTCAGTTATATTTAGGTATAACGTCATCCTTCTTTAGGTTAGTTCGGAAATAAGTTGTCCATGGTATGTAAAATCAATTAGTTCCATCTCTGTAATAGTACAGTGTTCTTCTAAACGCCATGTGTAGGGTTAAGATAAGTCTAACTGACTGACTGGTTTCACCATAAAACTTTGCACAGATGTGCAGCAGTTCCACTTGCCACACTCCATGTGGCACACAAAGCAAGAGAAAGTAGTAAACAGAGGTTCAAAAGAGAGATAATAGACACAAATGTCAGGTAAAAAGAAAAGTAATATGGAAGAATAGCAGACTTTTTTGGATATGATAAATCAAAAGAGTGGATGCATCTGCGCCATCGAAAACGGTTTTGAGGCATATCACCAATTGTCTCCAGTCATTCGTTTCTACCATCATTCACTGATAAAGCCATGTTTTGGTTTGACCACCAATAGCTTTTTTCCAACCTGATCTGATCTCAAATAACATTGTCCATCAGTCGAGGAAGGCGATGGCTAAGCATGCGTAACGCATGTCCTAACTTCAAAACTTTGTCGATTAATTTCCCCTTCTTATCTAACGCTCAACGCCTAACCTCAATATTACTCACCCTATTAAGACACTTGACCCGGAAGATAGAACGTAAGCGCCTATGATCAAAGACAGCGTTTTCATTTCTCCCACTTTCAATGGCCATGTTTCACAGCTATAAAGGAGAAGAGAGCGAACTGCTGAGCACTACGCACGTCCTTTGGTTGACAGTCGGATATGACGTCTACGCCAGAGATGGTGTATGCTAAACGAGCCTTCTGTATCCGTGCTGAAATTTCATCAGCGACTAGTTCTCTGGGTCTGATGCAACTTCCCTAATAATTGAAGTGGTCAACACACTCCACCACTTCACTCCCTATCTTTAAGCTTCATCTCACATTTGACGGGAGCGAATTGCATGCCAAACATTTGAAGACTTCTGCTCAGGGTGTTCAGAAGACTGCATTTCGTTAGCGTCTTCACCTAGGAGGACTATATCATATGCATATTCTAAGTCTACGAGGTTATTCCCTGGTAACAAGTCAATCCCTGAGTCGCTGAAGTCAGTTAGGGTTAAGTCCATTAGTACATCTAGAATGAAATTAAGTAGAAATGGGGATAGTGGGCATTTCTGTGGGACACCCCTAGTTGTCAACAGTTAAGATAACAACTCGCCGTAAGCTCTCAACTGGCTGCATGAGTTCGAGTAGAGTGCCTTGATCAGTGCAATGTATTTTCTCGGGATTCTTTTCACAACCAAAGTATGCCTATGTTCCAGAGTATGTCGAAGGATGAAGATATGAGCAATACACCCTCTTCCTGGTCTAAAGATTGCCTGGTTTTCTCGTGTTTGTTCCACCTGAGCACTGCTTAGTCTATGCATTATTATTGAGTCTAGAAGTTTAGATACCATATTAGTCAAGCTAATCCCCTTGTGATTATCACAGGAAGACTTGTCTCCCTTTTTGTATATCGGGATAATCAATGACTTACACTAACCCAAAGGGGCTTTCTCTGATTCCCAGACGCTTCCTAGTGCCTCAGTTAACGCAGACAGTAAACTGTCTCCAGCGCATTTAAATACCTCCGGAGTCATTCCATCAGGTTCTGCTGCTTTGCCTCGTTTCAGACCACAGGTAGCCTTTGTAAATTCAGTTAAGGACGGTGCTTATATTTCATTCAGGGAGTTAAGATTAGTAGTACTACTACTGTCATTATGGCAGTAGCTGATTTATCTTACTGCTAACTAAGTAAGCTACGTATTAGGGAACGATTAATTTGATTCAGTATAACTTCACCAGATTATCGTCATAGACATCCTTAAGTTAGGTGGTAATATACACAGAATGATTGTAGTAAACCAAAGATGTCTATTCCGAATACTTGTAACTATACCTAAGGACTAATAATCAAGGAATACAATGAAGAATATTTTTAATGAAACAGACATGTCCAGGAAAGAAGTAAAAATACTAACCTTAGCCATACGAAACCAAGCCTTCACATATTTTGGTTCAAGTTCAATAGCCCGTTCGCAACATTTGATGGCTGTTGTAAGGAAATTTGATTGTGGTTTCTTCGGATTGTAATTGCGTTCGGTGCCAAGTTTCATTAAACACAGGGCTGCGTTCGACAAAGCAACAGCCAACAATTGACGCGGACTAAGATCACATGGTTGAAGACCAAGTATGTCTGAATCATGGCGATAATTAGGATCAGTCACGCTAACACTCCCATCTAATATCTTAATCGCTCTTTTGTAGCAGTTGAATGCTCGAATGATCATCCCCATCTAAAATTTCAGAGAACACTCAAAAATCTTTATGTTTCGCCAAATTTACCACGAGATTAGTGTTTTACACTACCTAAAGTAAATTTTTCTGGATAACTAGAGGTTTTCTTTGACTTTTTCCGACCGACGGTATAGGCTGATTCCGAAGTAGAGTTTCTTTAAAACCGTGTCTTGCAGCTTCATGACAGTTCTTAGTCCCTAATTACCCATAATGAAACGAAACATGGATGCCAAATCAGGACTTTATTTTTGCTTTTAGAGGATAGGGTAGTCCAGTTGATAGAATGAATAAACATGACTTCTCAAATGCCATTGGCTAACTCGATAACGAATGAACTTTTGTCTGTACAAGTATAATTACCGAATATTTTGTTAACTAACTGATGATGGAATCTGAAGTTTGATATAACGCACTATTTGGGAACCACTGTTGTTTGTAATTGCCAAACTGACCACAAGACAAAAATTTTTGGAGGTCTGGTACATGTCACTTGACAGGAGGTTTGGAACAGAAACACAGGCTTGTTGTAATTTATGACGCACAAAAGCTTATGATTGCAATAACTGGAGAGTTGGGAAGCCAGTTGACAAATGGTTAAGTCATTTTACTGATACTGACAACTAACCTTTAAAAGTTTATTCCCACGGCGTTTCATTACATCAGCCACGACGAATTTTTCACTTTCAGACATCTGCCAAAACTCTGCAAGCTACTTGCGAAAATAACATTTCCTTCAGCTTACCTTCTGAATATCTTGGAGATGTACACTGAATAACACTTTATGTGTGGATGAGTCATTTATCTTCAGAAACTCTTTTTCCAAATCCGTGAAACTGTAGTCATGAGTAAAAGACACGTCACACTGTTCACCACAACCCATTTCCTTTACAATTTCGTCAACAACTTTCATTACACCGAAATCTTCTGCATGTCCAACATCGAACGTAATTTTCTGATTTCGAAGTATTGTATTATCGTCAACTGTAATAGATATATTTACAACAACACGCTCGTGTTCCTTAGGCTTTTGAGTCCCAGGACACAAAATCACTTTGGGAAATTCTGACATCTAGGCAAAAAGGGTTCATTATTTGGAAAAACATTTTAATACTAGGCTGAGCAAAGTTAGTACTATACAGCTTAAAATAGTGAGAAACATTCGAAATCCTAGGTTGCGCGTAAGTTGTGTATTCCAATCAGCTTCATCCTACATACTACATTTTTGACTGTAGGTGTGCACACTGCTGCCTCCATCCCAGCATTGTTGTTAGTTGAGACTAAACGACCATATTTCTTGTGTAACAAGCGAAGCAAATATTTGCATACCTCTCACTCGCATAACTGTCACGTTTTGAAGTCATGATGATATAAATAGTACTACGCATCTTCTAAGGGAATTCATAAGTTGTAGTATAAGGGTATGTAACCTCTTTACCTCCATTGAGTTGCAACAGGCAAGATTGATATAATGTGGGATCACTACTCAGTGCAAGACTGACCATTCTAAGTGTATGAGCACATTATCCATGGCTATACGTTTAAACAGCTATCCCCGAAGGTTAATAACCAGATTATTAGTGTTGCGACTATGTATTCTCTGGAAGCCAACGAAGGTTTTGTAACTATTTAATGGGATGATTTGAAAACAGAAAGGAAGACAATAAGGTTTATAGGTGTTTTATCATCTAGGCAACCAATGAACACTGGTGAGCTACAAGTTATTATTTTAGGCCTTCTTTCCTAATTACCATATTAAAGCACGATGCTGCTGACAATGGGACTATCTTATTTAATGTTCCCGGCTGTTATTAAAGTCTGGAAAGTGTCGCATTATGTTAGGCCACCTTCCCAAAAAGTGGTGTATGAAATGAATCCAGCACTTTCCAAAGGCGACTGTGAGGACTGCTGTGACCACATATATGAGTCATAACAGCCTGAGTGACTACTTGATAAGCGGCTGGATAACGCCAGTTTACATATCCTACTTAATTTTTTGAAAATTTGCTCCATGTGGATTGTATAATCAAATGTACATGAAAAACTTTTCCTGTTAAAAATCATTTTAGGGTGTTACATATATATATATGGGTAAAATCAGCTATTTTTTTGCTGTAAGGCACTCCGCATTCTCAGAAACTATTTACTTTCATAGTGTCAGTAAATACTACACATAAAATTTGAACCTGTCGACAAGCGTTCCAGCCAGAACTTCAATTATCTCTCTTTGAACAATAAGAAAGTATCACATATTCGTGTTCAGCCAGACTGTAATCATCAGAACTGGCACTAAGGAAGATTTCAGATACCTTAATATCAGTGTCGACAAAAACATGAGAAAGGGTAGCGCAGAGCTCAAATACCGTGGATGTTTGAACATCGTCAAGCTGTACAAACAAATCTTGTGACCAAAGAGACAATTTTTCAACAAATTTCC